TCTATTGCTTTGTCGAAATCCTCATCGGTCGGCATCTTCGGAACAAGCTTGGGATACATCTTATGTAGGGATGATACGACCGTCTCGAGGTTTTCGCGAGACGAGGCCGCAACATCCAAATCAATGATTTGGTCAAAGCCATCGTCAGGAGCTGCATAAGGGTTGACCGGCTCAAATCGACCAAGGAAGCCTTCCATGATACCAAGGATGTCCGATCGAGATTTCGTACCAGCTTGAATAGTCTGATGGTTGTCACCACGCGCGAATATTCTTTCTTGGGTGACTTGACGTATTTTGGGGAGCATCTGAGGCTTCGGGTCATGAATATAATGCAACGCAACAAATCGGGCTCCAGGGACAATTTGGAGCACATCGTCCATGACCTGCTTTCTTTCCCTCCGTTGATGATTGTTTCTGTCTGCAATCATAACAGGATGGTCAGCTAGTGTATTGGTTATGAGCGTGCAGAACTGTTTTGGTCTATTTTGTTTCCCGGTGATATTGTCGTTCTGGACATGGCCCCAGCCAAAGAGCTTTGTTAGAGCAATTGCGACAGTCGTCTTCCCACATCCTATGCTGGCAATGGGGAGGAGTATCAAATCTCTCGTAACCGCATCCGGCGAGCTATCCCCACCTGCTTCTTGATCCTCTTGTCGAGTTATGTCTGAACCCTTGAGACCCATTTGGTTGAGAAAGCCATTTCGCAACGCGATTATTCCGTGATTTTGTTTGTAAGCCTCGCCAATGGATGAATCTTTTGCGAGCTGGCGGCGGGCGTATTGTAAATACTGTTCCGTGATTTTTTGGTGCTTCTTGAACTTAGGAGGCTTGCCACTAATCACAGCCTTCGTCGCTTCGCGCCATTGCCGGTACATCAAGTATGGCTCCTCGAACTTGTACTTGAAGAACCAGTCTTGGTAGTTACCTCCTTCTCCGGAATGTCTCCTTCGACATCGTATCACAAAGCCTTCTGTGTCTCTGCCAGCGTACGAGCCGGTCTCAGCACAATCCGAAAGGAACTTCTTCATTGAGTCGATGTCGTCTTTGATAAGGTACTGTGCTTTCTTGAATCCCCATTCGTCAGCGAATTCGTGTACTAGCTCGCCAGGGTATGTTGCGAAATCTGGGAGATTCAGATTGATGCCATGTATGTAAAGACCCGCGTCTTTCGGCTCGTACGCTAGAACATGCTCTTCGAAAGAGTCATCACAGAGTTCCGCAACAGCAGTGACGTTCCGTTCTCTCAGCTCTCTTGCCAGATCCGCACTTTTCTTTCCGACAGTTTTCAAATGCTTGTCCACCCAGCGCTCTCCAGCAGCGGCATGGCTCAGATCGACGTTGTCTCGAGCTCCTGTTGAGTGCTTACTGCAAACCAGGAGTTTGTCACCTTCCAGACCCGATATGAAGATGATGCATCCATTCTCCTTGACACTAAGCTCGTAAGGTCCTTTAGTCATTGATACGACATTTTCCCAATTTGTCTCATGTACTTCGCCAACGTTGAAGAACTTGTCATATCCTCTCGTGGCAATCTCAGGAGTACCATCTTTCCGACGGTAGGTAAACAGACCCCGAGCATAGGTTGGAAGGTCACGACGCTTGTAATCCCAATCTCTAAACTGCCATGAGTCCACGGTGACACCACCGGTACCGGCAACGTCGAATGTATGTTTCTTGCATGTCAGGGAGTTCTTCCCGCCTCCATGCTTTTTTGTGCTGGCTTCAAGGCCTTTGACCAGGGCAGCAACCTCTTGGGCATCCTGAGCAGCATATGGAACACTGCTTTGAGGAGCCATGCTTTTAGTGTGTAGCTTGGAGGTAAGGCTGTTGACTGTGGTACTTAGCAAGAAAAGGTGTCGTATGGTCAGCTGAGGTCTGAGGATGGCAGGACATATAATATAGCCGCTCGTAAGCATCTCATTTCAGGTGTTGACGTTTCTGATTCAATCAAGTGACTCCCCAATGCGCCTCCCTGACTCGTACTTTTGAGTCACTCCAGAGTCAACAATGGCCGTTTCCACAAGGCTGAAATTTAGTGGCCGCAGATGATCGTCATCCCGCAGCTTTGCCGAGCTCTGACCTGAGAGGCTGAGACACTTTCGAAGAACTCTCTTGCAAACGAATAGCCAAAGTAAATGGATTGATCCGCATGGCGCCCAACACCTTCACCCTTGCTGCCGACAATAGCCCGCACCTCCTCCCTATCCTACGCGCAAATCCCTCCCTCGCGTCAGCACAGGACGACCATGGCTACTCTCTCGTTCACGCAGCTGCAAGCTACAATCACCTAGACCTACTACAGACTTTAGTACACGAGTTCCACGTTGACCCGAATATTAGAGATGAAGATGGCGAGACGGCTTTATTCGTGGTCGAGAGCGTAGAGCCTGCGCAGTGCCTCCTTGAGGAGTTAGGAGCGGATCTAACACTCAAGAATGAAGAGGGTATGACTGCCGAGGAGAAGATACGGGCTGAAGGAGAATATCCGACGATAGCGGACTTTCTGAGGGAGTCCAGAGTCATAGGAACTCCGGCCGTCGGGGATACTCAATCTACTCAGAACGGATCACATCCACCTCCTCTTCCGCCCAATGTAAAGGTACATTTGGGGACTATGGAAGACCCGCAAGCAATAGGAGAAGGCACAGAAGCGGACCCAGAGTTCAGACGGAGGATTGAAGAGCTTGCAGCTAGGGATGATTTCCAAGGAGAGGAAGGGCAGAAGCAGTTGAGAGATTTGATCAAGGATGCTATCAGGGGAGCTGGCAGGGAAGACGAACGACAGGTCAGGCCGAGGCTTGAGTAGGAGCACAGGAGTTATAAATTTAAGAATCTATGTATCCGATTCTGGATGCGAAAATGCCACCAATATGCAGACAGTATCCAGAAAGCCCCGAGGGTATTATGCATCGCCTCTCATTTTCTTGAAGAAATCCATCACCCCAGTGAAGACCACCAATAAGATGCCTCCGCCAGGACCTAATCGCAAAACTTTGGGCAAGAAACCCTTATACAATGCTGCAAAGCCCTCCTCCTTCATGACGGTCCCAAGTGCAGGCCAGGCCCAATTGTACTTGGGCACGGAGCCTTTGATCTTCGGCGAATTTTGTATCCTGGATTTGACGACATCCATCGGGGTGTTCAGGACGGTACCAATTGTCCCTCCAGCGGCACCAGCGACCAGATCGTTCCGTATCTGCTGGCCTTTGCCTTCGGCCTTGGGCAGCCATCCCTTGACTTGGAAGATGACGCCGAAGTATCCGGAGTTCCACAACATGTGTCGCCAAAGTGTGCTCTCAAGACCGTTGTACATAGCTAAGGGGCCTTCTTCTTTTACGATCTTGGCCACACAGTCAATCATGCCATTGTATTTCCCTGCTGAAGCCCGATCTTGCAGCCTTATCTTGACGAGTTCGAAAGGGACGACGACGAACGCCTCTGTAGCACCAGCTGAGGCACCGGTGAGGATGGAGAGTTGCTGGTTCATTTTGGACATGCCAAAAATGCCGCGATAGTATTTACCCCAGGCGTCGTTCGCTGCGAATTTAGTGGCTCTTCATGTAATTTCAGCTCATGCAGAGGATTCCTAGGGGAAGAAAGCTTCTACCTCTTCGGAGCTTCCATCAGTATGGGCGCTGTAATTCCTCGATACAGTCGCGAAAAGCCCTCGTTTCTTATAATCTTTTGAAAGCAATCAATCATTCCATTGTAGCCTTCCCCTCCAACACCTTTTCCTTGTTGCAATTGCCTGTGGTCGCGAATCAGCCCAGCCCATTGACTGTGAAGCTCGAAGGTACTGACACTCGGGTCTTGACGACATCCAGTGGGTACCTAGAGCCTTGTCAAATCACTGCTCCCGTTAGACGTAGTTGGTATAGTGTAGTACATCACTAGAATCTATGATTGTCAGCTTGATCGCCGTTGCTATCTGAAACCACACACCTCTGATACACCAGCTACTGCACCTGCAGCGAACTGGTAGATAAACGGCAATGGCTTATCTTGCGACATGATGGAGAGATTCAGCTAGCTAGGCCTTATAGATATCATGTATGGTTCCAAATCAAGGCAAGCGTAGGCCCTCAACACAGAGTAGGTGAGACTTGTGAAGTTGCTGGCGAAGGAGAGCTGGATTGCTTTTTTGGTCCTTTGATAGGGACTCGGAGAATAGAATTCCCGAGATCACGTGCGGCCCTCTCCTCGTGTCTCTGCGAGATATCATTCTGTCATAGTGGACGACCTCGGGGACGCTGCGCTCAACGAAGTCAAATAAAATCATTGCCATCGATCATCTAGTTGGATCTATCCAGTCCAGGCCCAGTCAATTTCCTGAACGAGCATAGAAGAATACACGGTTTCTGGCCCCCTTCAATGCTCATTTTCTTCCTGCCTTCCTTAGCTTGTTAGCCTCACATGAGCATTTTCTTGCGCGAACGTTTTGCGACATTTTCCTCCACGCAACGTGGGCCTGATAACCTTCTCCTCTCGTGCCGTCTTTGTTAGTGGTGTGGTCACGCCCTCTGGGCGCAGTTCTTGCACCAACCCAACTGCTATTGGTATTCATGGACGACCGGCTTACGCGGCTGCAGTACTAGACCAAGGAGACGGCCACCTTAGGCCTGTCAAAAAGCTCGGCGGCATAACACTAAGCTTGATTCAAAACCTTTTCCGCCGTCTCTTGTCTTTTCAGTATACCTAGGTAGAAGGCTGAAGTGGTCCGTTGTTTGCAAAATCACAGCCGACAAAAGAAGCTACTTGGAATGACTTCTTTGATGAATCTCCATGCAGTCGATGGGAAATTTATGAAGGAAAAGATGAACGATCATGTGCGGGAGCCTTCTGATGCAGACATTCCGAATCGAATTTGTATGCTATTTGTTCTTGCCGCACTGTTCCTGCATACAGTTTTGCCCTACATAGGCTGCATTCATGACCCTGCATTTCCACTTTGCATTGTATTGTTTGTGGACACTGACCCAGTAACACTATTAGCACAACCCATGTGCTGGGCAAGTAAGACCTGGGTATAGCCTAGTAGAAAATAGGCTGTGATCCCCATTGACAATCCCCGCAAGCTGTCTACAGCCTCCGTGCTAAGAGCAAGGTGGTGTAGCTTCAACACCTAGGCGTCTGGGTATTTTGGGCGGCTCAGATCCTCTGACCTCAAGTACAGTACTAATCTTAATCTCTTGCGTCGACTATCCTTGCTGCTTGCTCTATGCAAGTTTTGTTTCGGTGCACCTATGTTTTCAATCAAGCAAAGCATCTACCTTGGACTCTAGATCTCGGGCCATTTGTTGAGTGATGGCCCTCTATGTTATTTTATTGCTTCTAATTATCCAATGGAGTTTCTACGCTGCAGCTCAAGGTACGATCTTACTCTCTTCTCATCTTTGTATCAGGCTCCGTCTGTCTGTAGCCAAGGCGATGATTCACGGTTATTACTACGGTTGGCCTTGAGTGGAGAAGCTAGATGTGGTTTTATTCCCTTTCTCTCTCACCTTAGACCTTAATCCAATTTTGAGGCACTATATGAGTCACCGTGTTGACATGATCGTTATTGTTGCCTGGTTTTCACAAATAAAGGTCATGCTGAAAGCGAGATAGCCACCACCTACCTCAACCGGACGACGGCGAAATTGGGCATTAGCGACACGCCTATGTATAGCTTTCCTCTCGCAGAAGTGACAGCATTGGATGATCTTTATGGCGGAGTGTCGGATTCAAGTCTTCGCCTCTATTGCGAGTCCGCCCTTCTGGAAGCTGCAGCTCAATTCCAAGTTCCGGTCGCTACGTTCACGGCTACATCAACCATTGCTGGCTCTCATATAACATACACGTCCGTGTCTACGGACTATGTGGTCAGCGTAACAGCTAAGCCGCCCTGTTGTGCAGACCGTCCCATCGCTGGGAATCCTGCTCAACTGCGGTACTTTCCAAGTACTGAGTCTACGATATCGGGCGCGAGCGTAACAGTGTCAGATAACTTTACTTAGTGAGAGACCGTCTTCCCAACATTTTTTAAAACCAGCTAATGACTCTACACAGTACATCTCCATCCGTATACCTAGTTCTGTCGTCTGTGAGAGCGACCAACCTTTGCGGTACCGTCGGCACTGAATCTACGCAAATAGTCACATTGTCGTTTCCACCGAATTACCTGTACACTTACGTTGGGGAGGTGGGAAACTTAGGCATTCCAGGAAATCGGGTCTCTTCCGACTTTTTTAATCCCACTGACTTGGCAAATTGTACGACTTCGACCGTCTTCACCAATTTCGGAGCACATTTCGCCGACCCTTACAGTCTATTCATTGTTGCACCTACACAGCTATTGGACATTGACCCAGCGTTTAGTACATGCACGGTAGGCCCCCATCCATGTTCTGCCCTGAAATAAACTACGCCGTTGCAATCGACTGATTGGTGTACTTGTAGCTTGCAGCCCTCGGATTTCACGATCCACCCACAGCGCTCACTCCTGCCAAGTATCTCGCACCTCCTCCCACTCCTCCACCAGCGCCTGGTCCGACTCCAACTGCCAACGAACCCAAGGCTACGATTGGCGCCGGTCAACAAGCTTCGAATCTGCAGCCTAATCCGCCGGTCGGCAGTCCATCCGACCCTGCATCGGACAAACTTGCGCCGAACGATCCTTCGCCAGGTATCCCTTCACCAACTAGCTTCGCACTAAATCCTCTTTTGATCAACCCATCGCCAATTGAGAACCCTCAACAGGCACCAGGCAGCACTCCAGGAATTGTTGGCTCAAAGACTCAACCTCAGCAACTGCCACCCGCCGTTGATTCGAGCGATTCAGGCTCCAACGATCAGTCACAGCCGGCCGTGCCTGGCGCGGTCTCAATACCCATCCCAGAACCTTCCTTCAGTACAGGACAAGGCCAACACAAACCGTCGGTTATATCAGTGTTGGGCCAGGCATTTACTGCCAGCTCTGACTCTGTTTTCGTAGTTCCATCCGCAACACTTATACCCCGTGGTCCGCCCATCACAATCTCAAACACCCCTGTATCTCTTGCTCCGTCTGCAAACTCCGTCCTCGTCGGCCTTAACACGTATGTTGGAGGTACTGCGCCAACGTCGGCAGTAGCAGTATTTCCACTTGGAGACAAGTCTATAACTGCAAATACCGCCTCCCAATTTATCATAGGGTCTCAGACTCTGAACCCTGGCGGCGTCGTCATGGTTTGGGTACCCCCGCTCACTGCATTCTGGATCCTCATACGCCCTAGTGGGCTCATCCACAGTCTCATTAATCATTTCGCCCCCAACAGCCAATTCACCTGCCGCATTGGCGTTTGCGGGCCAAATCTACAAGGCAAACCCAACAGACGGGGCTTTCGTCGTTGGTAGTCGGACCGTTACCCCTGGCGGTGCCATCACTGTAGCTGGTACTCGAATTCCCCTGCGTTCTGGGTCCTCATTTGCCCTGGTGGGTCCGTCAACAATCTCGCTAATTCGTTATCCAAGTAGGACCAATTTCCAAGACGTCTTGACGTTCGTAGGTCAGACGTACACTGCAGACTCGCGGAATGGCGCCTTTGTCATTGGCGGCCAGACTGTCACACCTGGCGGCGCTATTACAGTTGCCGGAACGCGAATTGCTTTAGTTCCTACCGCTGCCTATGCAGTGGGAGGCACATCCACGATCCCACTGCAAGGCAACTTGCAAACTCTCATTACATTCGCTGGCTCAACGTACACAGCGACTCCAGGGAGCTTCATGATTGGCAGCCAAACATTGACACCCGGGGGTGCTATCACCGTCTCCGGGACTCGCATATCTTTATCTCCTGTTCCAGCCACTCCATACGCGGTGATCCGCTCATCAACGCTTCCGCTTGTGCCTGCCACCGTTGGGCCAGATTTTTCGACTTATGGTGGGCAGGTCTACATGGCAAACTTGCCAACCGACTTTGTCATTGCTTGGCAGACGTTGACGCCTGGTAGATTAATTACGGCGGATGGAACTCCGATATCACTCGCGCCAGCCGCAACGGATGCTGTGGTGGGAATGAGCACTATAGGTATTAGAGGTTATATCAAGAACGGGTTCAATGGCCGCGGAGAAAGTGGTGCTAGGGGCAATGAGAGTGTGGCGCAATTCTGAGAGGGGCAGGGAGGAAGCAATATGTTAAAACGAGCGCTGAGGCGAGTTTGGCTGTCGTTCGCGATGGGGTTGGGAGCGTTTGCAGTAATGGTATGGTGAAAACTTTGTGCCCTCTCTCTGGTGCGCGAGGCTTCTAATCGGATTCGGCGTCCCTAGATGTATTTTGGGCAAGGTGTTGTGGGGATAATGGCGCACTACCTAGGTAGCTCGATTAAAGCACCGTAACGCCTGCGCCCTTTCGTACTCAGGATGTTCGTCTGAAACATGAGTAAATCGACAGCGAGATTGTTGATATATTTGAACCACAGGAGTCGTAGCATGGCATCCGACCAAAGGACCACTGGCAGTGGACTTCGGAGAAAGGTGGAGCCGGAAAGTCACGTGCTGGCGTGGTCGCGTTTTCCAACGCGTCCTTCATTTTGAACAACAACAGATTAAAATGGTGGGGTCACGGGCCTCGGAAGCGTACCAATCAGAGCGTAACTTACGATAAACTGAAAGTTTTTCCGCCAACCATGGCGAGTCGCCAGAAGTCTTTCTTCGATCGGGATAAAAAGGTGTGTGTTTCGTGACAACTTCGGCAAGCCACAGGACTGACTACATGTACTTCAGCAGGCTCGCCCTTTCTTGCAGAAAGACTGGAAGCGTGAAAACGAGTCTCATGGCCCTCAACCTTCCTTGAAGCCATCCGCCCTCATGGCTCCCATAGCTGCCTCCTCACAATCCAAGTCGAAGCTAAAAGCCTTCCAATACGATGAGAGGAATGACTACACTGTCCCCAAGGCTGCGGTCACTGAGAAAGAGAATCACGATCCCGAGCTGGACGCGACGACCCTGAAGATGGACCCCCCTCCACAGCATCTCTCGCAAAGATCTGCAAAGGACGTACGAGATTGCCCCCAGACACCAGTCGGCAGACTGCCATTGACGGAGCTCCTCGCAAGTGGTGATGATACGTCTCGTCAGCATCTGAACTTGACACCCATTGAGCGAGTCTTATGGGACAACTCGCCTGTCAGCTCAGAGCCTGCAAAATCAAGGCAGAGGGGTAGAAAGAGAGCACATAGCTCATCTCCGGCGTCATCTTCCCAAAATGACACCTCTCGTCCCTTTGGGAGTACCAAGCCACAGGCAGACCTCCCGGCTTTGCAGAAAGCTTTGAAAACACCAAAGGCTGATCCCGCTGACGATCTGTGGAGTCGTTACTCACTCAACACAGGCACTACCGAAAGACAGTCCCCCACCGCGCCCGCTGGCTTGGCTTTCACCCAACTCATACATTCATCATCGCCTCAAACACCCGCTAGTCATGACAAAGAGGGGAGTGGCTTAAGAAGGGTCTTAAGTTGCATCGAATGGCCGACGTCAGCAGCGAAGAGGAGAAAGCTACAACAGAGCGGCACGTACAAGGACTCCAATGGTGGGCATGCTAGAATTGATGGAGGCCCCGATGATACGAACGAGAAGTCGAAGATGTCAAGGGTCAGCTTCCTGGTTGAGAAGATACATGACGGTCTCACCAAGCCGCGCGCCATTCAGGAGTACTCTTCGTCTGAGCCTGCCAGATCCTCACCTGTGGCGCGGAAGGTCAACGAATCACCCAAAGGACTCGACCTACCATCGCAAGAAGGCCAGACAGCAATCGACGACGTCGTCACTGTTCTGAGTCAAACCGCTGTAGCACCCAAAGAGCGCCCACTCCTGCCTCTGGTACTTTCTGCGGAGGAAATTGCGGATCTTGAGAAAGCTGATGGCTCCTCTGACTTTGGAGACGATGATCTCGATCTAGAGATGCTCGAGACGGTGGATGCGACTCTTCAGGCTTTCTCGACAACAAGAATGAAGGCCGCGAGCCCAAGACGCGGTAATAACAATCGACCCATTACCACAGTCGATCCAGAAGAGCACATACGAGGACCTACCCAAGCTGACTCTGCGGAGGCGACCTCTGGGGATACCGAGAGGCTGTCCCAAGTATCCTTCCCCTCTGAAATATCCTCTTCACCAGCACAGGTGGCGCCCTTGAATCACGATGAGTTTGGTGAAGATGAGGATGAGGTCTCTGCAGCCGACCTGGAGAATGTCTTCGCTCAGTACGATACCCAACCACAGCAACATGTTGCTAGAAAAGATCATCTTGCGAAGCATGCAGATTCAATGCGTCCAGAATCAGCAACTGACGTCCGGAAAGAATCCATATTCAGACCTAAATCCGCGATTCCTAGACCTGTGATTACCACTCACATCGAAGTGCTGTCTGATGACGAGGACTTCGGCGATGATTCGGATTTTGAGCAGATTGCTGCTGAGTGCGTCGAGGCAACCAGAAATCAGCAGGTATCACAGCCTCAGTCATCTGTACGTACTGTGAACTTTCGCTCATCTATATTTTAGTTAGCTAAATAACGAAAGCATGACAGAAAGATGCCGACCATACAGCGTTATATAATCAAGGCCGTAGTCGAAAGTGAATACCAAACAACTAGTGGACATATGCGACCAGAGAAGGTGCCCCATACTCATATCTCATGTGTGTCATTCCTATGGCTGACTTTGACAGGTACTCTCTGTGCAAAGTGAAGGGACAAAGTTCAGCAAAGCAATCATTCTACGACAAGCCTGGGTAGACACCCCCTGTCTCCCCGAGTCTTATGTCCATCTCATCGGAGATTTTGATCGTCTTGGTCAATGCGTCGTCGACAACACCCAGAACCTGCTTATCCTTCATCCTGATCATCTGATTTCATCTACTGTGGTTGGAGATTCGTTCACATGTACTCGCAAAGCTGTCCTAGAAGCTCGAGTCAAAGCCACCAGTGATGCCAACCAGGCCACTCTTTACGGGCATTTGCTGCATGAGATATTCCAGGAGGCGCTGAAAGCTAATAAATGGGATGATGGTTTCATGATTTCGCTCATTGAAACCATAGCGACGCGGAGCCTGGAGTCGCTCTTCGAGCTTCAGATTGAGGTTCCGATCGCCATCGAGCAGCTCAGAGCCAGGGCGGTCGATTTGCAGGCTTGGGCTGAGATTTATGTTGCCGCAAAACCGAAGGTCAGGCTCTTCTCGGTATAATTGAGCAGAAGCTGATTACTTGTTAAGTCGAACGCCGTTGTCAAAGATCGGAATGGAGCCCAATCCCTCATGTGTGTCAACAAGCTTCTCGAGATCGAAGAAAAGGTGTGGTCACCAATGTATGGGTTGAAGGGCAACATCGATGCCACAGTACAGGTGACGTTAAAGGACGGTGAGGATGAAAAAACATTAACAGTACCGTTCGAGTTGAAGACGGGTAAAAATGCCAACGCATCGCATAAAGCCCAAACATCGCTTTACACCCTTTTGCTTTCCAATCGATATGGCGAGTCACTCAGTGCACTAAGTGTTTGGTTACATTACTAACCCCTTACCGCGCGGCAGATGTCGAAATTGCTTGTGGTATGCTTTACTATATGCAGAGCTCCGAAATCTCTAATGTCCAAACTATACGCCACGAATTGGTACCCATGATCATGCAACGGAACGAGTTAGCAAGCTATGTTCGTCATCGTGCGGAACTACCCCCAATGATCAAGCGGCCATATACTTGTGGCAAATGCTTTGCCCAAACACCATGCTTTCTCTATCACAAATTGGTAGATGACGGTAATGGCGAGACAAGTGGCCTTGGAGAGAGGTTCGACGACTTCGTTAAGCACCTGAATCCTAACCACCAACTCTTCTTCAGCAAGTGGGACGCTTTGCTGACGAAAGAAGAGAAAGACTTTGTCAAATTTCGCAAAGAGTTGTGGACAATGCAAAGTTTCGAGCGCGAGAGGGTCGGACGATGCTTCGGCAACGTCATCATTGACCCAGGTTCCTTCCATAAAATCGAAGGCGCTCTAAAGATCAACCGCTATGGCTATACTTTTGTCAAGCAGAAGCCAACACCTAGCTTCTCTTTCATAGAATCCCAGATCACTCTTGGTGAACCTATTGTGATCTCGGACGAGAAGGGACACTTTGCTCTTGCGAATGGTTACGTGACCAGCGTACGGAAGCACAAAATCCAGGTCGCCATTGACCGCCGTCTGCATAATGCTCGAGCAAAAGGCAATGATTTTGACACTCTGCGAAACCAAACCTTTGCAGGTATCATGGAGGTGGTTGACAATGGTTTTGGACAATCAACCATGATACCCACGCAACCTGATGAAACTATAACGTACCGTCTCGACAAGGATGAGTTCAGCAACGGCATGGCAATGATTCGTACCAATCTCGTTCGCTTGATGGAGAAAGACGTTTTTGGTGTTCAAGCCCTTCGGAGATTGATCGTTGAGAATGTGGCTCCTACCTTCAAGCCCACAGCGTCAGCGTATACTCTTGCAGATACGGCGAGCCAAGCTAGCCTGAATGTTGACCAAAAGGCTGCAATTGAGAAGGTGATGATCGCCAAAGACTACGCCCTCGTCCTTGGGATGCCGGGAACTGGGAAGACGACTACCATTGCACATATTATTCGAGCTCTTGTAGCCCAAGGAAAGAGCGTTCTACTTACCTCATATACGCACACTGCTGTCGACAATATATTGCTCAAGCTACGCAACGACGGAGTTGGCATCTTTCGCCTCGGTGCCGTCGCAAAGATCCATCCAGAAATTCAAGAATTTGCAGATCTTGCGGGCAAACCGATCAAGACGATGGAAGATCTCAAGAGATGCTACACACAACCAATTGTCGCAACAACGTGCCTAGGGATTAACCACCCCATCTTCAATCAGCGTGTCTTTGACTACTGCATCGTCGACGAAGCGTCTCAAATCACACTTCCCGTGTGCATAGGTCCCATCCGAATGGCTAGGACATTTATCCTTGTCGGCGACCACTATCAATTGCCTCCTCTGGTCCAGAATAAAGAGGCTCAAGAAGGTGGCCTAGACATCAGTTTGTTCAAAACACTCTCCGACAACCATCCTTCTTCAGTCGTGAACCTCGAGCACCAATATCGTATGTGCGAAGAGATCATGACACTCAGCAATACCTTGATCTATGACGGCCGTCTCAAATGCGGCACACCAGCAGTCGCCACTCGCTCAATCGTTATTCCTAGCATAGACGCCCTCAGGCAACATCACCATAACCCTCGCAGTATCCTCTCTGCCGACCCAAAGAAAGTCTGCCCTGGCCCTACCCGAGGATCTTGCTGGCTCCGCGATCTCCTCGATCCTTCCGTCAAAGCCTGCTTCGTTAATACAGACCCTCTCTTGTCTCTTTCTCGTGAAGCCCTGGAAAGCGGGTTACGGATCACAAACCCCTGCGAAGCAAAATTGGCCACCCAAATCGTCGAATCTCTTATCACCACAGGAATTGCTCCTACAGACATTGGTGTCATTACTCTTTACCGTTCCCAGCTGGCACTGATCAAGCAATCTCTCCGCCACCGCTCGGGCGTCGAAATGCACACCGCGGATAAGTTCCAAGGCCGTGACAAAGAAGTGGTGGTACTCAGCCTCGTTCGTAGCAATGAAGACCAAAATGTCGGAGAGCTGCTGAAGGATTGGCGGAGAGTCAATGTTGCACTGACAAGAGCGCGAACCAAATTGCTTGTGTTGGGGAGTAAGAGTACGCTCGTGGGAAACGACTTGTTGAAGGACTTTATCGTATTGATGGAAAGAAAGGGGTGGTGGTTTGATCTACCGGCAGGAGCATGTGAAGGACATGTCTTCGAAGACGTACAGACGCAAATCTCTGGTAGGGGAAGCGCTGACACCAAGGCTGAAGTGGACTTTGGGAAGGCGAAGGTAAACATTGAGAGGCAAGCACTTGGAGAAGGCAAGGAGAACAAAAGGAGTAGGAGGGTCCCCGCGAAGCAGGGGAAGTTGGATGTCAGCGTCTTAATGGGCAAGAGGCCTGTTTTGAGAGACATCATTAACGATGCTTCTTGAGTAGAAATTGGTGGATGGCGAATGGCTATGAACTATTCAGGATAGCATGAGAATAGAGCAGACAATGATAGTGATTATGAGATAGAATCAACTGTTGCATGGAATCTATGTAATGGCAACGTCCATTCCAACCCCAGACCAGACAGCAATCTAATGCCATCGCTAATGCCAAACAACAATACCAATCCCTTCAGGCGTAAAAACAATCGACTAAAATGATCCACCCTCCAGCGAAGCTAGGAAGGCATCCATGTCGTCCAGGTTTCCAATGTCCAAATTGAACATGTCCTCATCGAATTCCTACAAAAAAAATGTCAATCGCGGTAATCTCTCTCCACCCTCTTCGCTCCCACGACGGAAGCTATCTTACCATCATTTCCGCTTCCTGTACTGGCTCCGCCGCCCTCTCACCAGCCGGCTCTTCCGCACTCACATCTTCCTGCAACGGACGTCAGTAAGCGCAAGGTACCAAATCCGCAACTCAGGAATCTTACATTCACCTCCCCTTCGTCCGACCCTTGGCCTTCCCTAGCCGCCCGCCCTTCCAAAGACAGCTGCTCCGTCGGCTTCCCGATCACCTGAAGCGTTCGTCTGTCAGTAACAATAACAATAACAATAACAATACCATCAGTAGTAGAAGGCCGATAACCATGCCTCATCACTTACAACTCCCTCCTTCTCACCCGACCGGCTTTCTCCTCCTCCTTCTTCTTCCTCTCCTTTAGCCCTGCCCTTGCACTTGACCGAAGGCCGGTTCCACGGCTCCGCCAACCGCGCTTCGGACCCGACGCCGCGGAGGCTGTTGCGGCCGTACATGGTGGTGTTGAAATGCTCCTCCGGCGCCACGGTCGCGTTGACCCAGCCGGTCGAGGGGGCTTCTTTGGGTGGGCGGCCGCGGGGTTTGGACGCGGTTTTGGCGGGGCGTTTGGTGATGCCGGTGGACGGTTTGCTGCCTTTGATGGGTGGCTTGGTGGCGGTGGGGGGAGTGGGGGGAGTGGGGATGGGAGATGGCGCTTGTTGCTGGGTGGAGAGGGTGGGGGGGTCTTGCTGTCGTTCCGGCGTGGGTGGGAAGGTGTGGTTGGCGGTTTGCTGGTGCGGTTGGATTGGTGGAGGGGCAGGAGGAGTTTTGGGGGGGGACTCCTTTGAAGGGCCGGCTGGGAGGCGCTGGCGGCTTTGAAGGAGGGGAGTTGGCCGTTGGAGGAGATGGTTGGGTCGGAGCTTTTGGGGCTCGACGTTTAGGGGGAAAGGAGCATGCTGGTGTTGGGTGATTGGGGAGGAAGAAGCCGAAGGTCGCTGGTGGGTGTATGGGCGAGGTTTCAAGTTAGGGTCCATGGAAGAGGGACCAAAGTCTTGTTGGTACATCCTGGTATGCAATATGCAACGAGCTGGAGGTTGCTCGTAGGTGTTGCGGATAGGTTCCATGCTTTGGCTCGCGGGAGCGGAAGCAGGCTCTTGTTGCTGGACGTTTGGTTGAGGTCTAGCCTCATGCTGCTGTTGCTGTTGCGGGTAGTGCAAGATCGGTTGGTTCGGAGGCGTAGATTCTCCACAAGTGAAGAGGCCAGTGTCCGTGTACTGGCTCCTAGGAGAGAGAGCAGGCCACTGTTGCTGCATCTCTGGACTGAGAAGAGGGGCTAAAGTTGGGCTTGAATCAGGGATCGCCGCTCTTTGACCTACCTGCTGGGTGGGTTGAAAGCTCATGGCGCTGCGCGGCTGTGGACGTTGATCATGCAAGTCTGTAGGGTATCTGAAGAAGCTGCAAGGAGCTTTGGGCTTTTCGACCCCAACCTCGTTTGCCAGGTCATTGTCAGTGGCCGCGTCGAAGTCGAAAAAAGAATCGGCGGCGGTGAATTCGGTCATGGTGGGTAAGGGATTGGATGGCTGTGAAGTGAGGGATGTATGTGATGGTACAGTAGAATCTGAGAAAAAAGAGGGTTTGTAAAGTGTTCAGGGTAATCAAATTCTGGGAGATATTTTGATGTGTGCTGAAAAAAGACAGGAGATGCAGAGCCTTCTGCGGTATATATTTATAAAGGGATATTGGAAAAGGGAATAAAATCTCTGCACGAAGAAAAAATCTTTTACTTTTTTTCCCCAAAGGAGTCGCGACAATGAGCTCAATTGAGAGAGGTGCTGCCTCTGCGAAAGAAAAGTCGACGCGGACTTCAGCTCAAGTATTAACCACAACTTTGTTCCCAGAGTACATACTTCCTTCCGCGCCTTTCGTAAACTCTGGAGTGCCCAGACTCTTTCGTCTTGCCCGCCACAGCGACGGCGCTTTGGCTATTCACAATCTCATCCGATACACACAAAATCGTATAGGCATCCTTCTGATCAGTCACAGCAGTCTTAAAGCTATAGGCACTCAAAGCAAAGAAGTCTTCGCTCGAAGCTCCTTCTCGAATTGTAGTCTTGGCACTATGAAATGTCAGAGACGCGTCTGCCAAGATGCCAAGAAATCGAGAACCGGGTGAAAAATGCTCACCTTGACAAACATATAAATAGATGCCTAGCCCATAAGGCCGGGATGAAGCCGGTCCATGTCAACGTGATCATATTGAGAACTTTTGCTGAGTCACCGTCTGGAATTTGGTAGCGACTGAGATAGGGATCAATAGTATCTTCTGAAAGGATGCGAGGACTTTCCATGGCGACGAGGCTGAGCCACTCATAGGTTTCGAGGGCCCAATCTTCGAAGTCGTCGTTGGAATCTGAATGAGGGGGAGGAATGAAGTTCGGTGCACTGACTCTCTCAGTGGTCTTCTGATGAGGTGAACAGTCTTTGGTCACCGGGTGGTGCTCGATAATCGGCGCGTCTGTCGCTGCTATACTGCACTCAGTGACACAATTGTCGTCGGGTTTTGCACTCGCAATAGCCTTACTGGGTTCAGAATTTGAATTGAGATCATGGAAAAGCCAAGTCACTGAATGGTTGAGAACATTCTTCAATGCCCATACGATCCTCTCGAAGCCTTTTTTCCCGTGCAGCATCGATGGTAATCGGAGATTTATATCGACTGCTATTGGTCCGAGATTATTAAGCCAAGACTTTACTTCACAGAGAGACGGTACCCACCATATCGAGTCTTGAGATGCTTTCGTCCCGCGTCTCGGACAGGCTGGCCAACTAGGCCGCATCGTTCGTACTTATCTTTTGCGAGCTCGAGACGAAGTACGCCTGATATGAGGATCAGCCAGCACTCAATGGCACAGCTCGGAGAACAGCTACGCTCGGGGACTAACTTGCCGTCTTTGAGGGAATAGCGATCATCTACACCAGGACGGCCTTCGGAGAGCATCAAGATATTGCCTGCAATGAAATGAGCGATTAGCAGGATGACAAAAACATGAGGCGCAATATATGTATGAGAGCACAGAAAATTGTCGCAAGTACCAATCTTGATGTATCTGTTGAAGAAGTCACCCTCGAGTAATCCAGACAGAGGCATGATAACCCGAGAATATTGAATGTTGCTGATCTTCGCTTCGACCTCTTTCCAGACAACATCATACAGCTCTTGAGGGAGAATTAATTGAACCTACAATCTCCATTCAGTCGCCTACCAGGCAAACGTCATCATAGCTTTCATACCGTGTGAGTGAATGGCTGGCCTAAGATGGTTGAAAATGGTTTCTTCGTGGATGGTGGTTGCTCAGGATCTACGAATGGAGGCAGGTTGCCGTGCGACACATACGCCTTTGAGGCTGAGGTTTTGGATTCAAGGAAGCTGAACATGGTGGGTGAGAGGTAGATATAAGGATACTTGGGGGTTTCTATTTTCGAAGTTCTTCTCGTGGTGCTGTTCTGCCAAAGGAGGACTAGTCCAGGAACAGGAATTTAGCGCCCGAGCTGCATGAACAAAGACAAGGATTGTGTGCATGTCAAGTCGACTATTATCGACGACCCGACGAGTCCCTCGCACCTCATAAATTCGCAAATCTGCTTCTATGTTGTGTAGTTATTGTTCTTTTCAGCCTTCCTAAAGGGAAATTTTTGAAGCTATCCAAACCCTTGGCATCCACCCATTGTCTCTCTTCGCCCTCACAATGGCCCCACCCCACCCTCGTCGCCCCATAGCCAAAGACCGTTTCGCCGCCCTCTTCCCAACCCTCAAAGTCCAAACATACCAAGACCCTACCTCTCGAGGCCCAGGCTCCCACACGTACGTACGTCCACCGCCCTCCCCCCTCGCCAACCCTCCTGACGCCCCGCCAGAATCCGCACCATCGCCTGGAACCCCACGGGCCACCTGATAGCTACCGGCTCCGCAGATCGCACGCTGCGGATATGGAATCCCGAGAAGCCGCAGGTGAAGAATAGTACGGAGTTGAGAGGGCACACGGGGGGGGTAGAGCGGGTTGCTTGGAATCCCACGAAGGAGGCGGAGTTGGCGTCCGTGAGCAGTGATGGCACGTGCAGGTTCTGGGATGTGAGGAGTAAGACGTGCACAGCGACTGTGCAGCTAGGAGGGGAAGGATTGACGATCGCATGGGCGGCGGATGGGAGCGTGGTTATGGTTGGGCGAAAGGTATGCTCCCCCTCTCCCTGTCCCTTTGTACGATCTACCCATCGTGTCCTCCAGCTAACGTGCAACCTACCCACCAGGACGATACCCTCATCCCCATCACCATCCACCCGGCCCCAACCGCCCAACCCTCTCACGCCCCAGCGCTCCAAACAAACCAATGCACCTTCAACCACACCTCCCCGCCAACCCACCTCCTCCTCACCCGCGGCGACGGCTCCGTAACCATATCCTCCTACCCCACCCTCCAAACCCTCCACACGTTGCACGCCCACACCTCCTCCTGCCTCTCCCTCGCCCTCTCCCCCACCTCCCGCTACTTGGCAATCGGCGGCTCGGACGCGCTGATATCCCTCTACGATACGACAGACTGGGTCTGCAAGCGCACGCTGACGAATCTGACCGGAGCGGTCAAGAGCGTGGGGTTTAGTTTCGATGGGAGTTTTGTGGTGGGAGGGAGTGATGAGGGGAATGTGCTCGAGGTGGCGCATACCGAGTCGGGCGAGTATGTGGGGAAGGTGGACATTGGGGCGAGCGGTGGGTGTGGGGTTGTGGCGTGGCATCCCGGGAGGTATTGGATCGCTTGGGCAGGGGAAGGGGGTGGGTTGAAGATTTTGGGGGCTGCTGGGGGACAGCTGTGATGAGTGGGGATTTTGCAGGTTTCCTGTTCCGTGTGGAGTGTGAAATGTTTGAGATAGCGAGCGGTCTTGATGCGATAGCGTTTAATTGAAGGCCGTTAAGCGAAAAGATGCAGAACCCTAGACAGCGTGAGGCATTTTCGAAGTTCAGCATGGAAAGCATTGATATGCTAATGAGCGGTAGAAGCTATTTTATTTGCAAGCAACTATGCACATTCAGTCCATGTCCAAGCGGGACCATCATCTATGGAAACGCAGCGCTCAGAGTAGCAAAGCCCCCGTGTTGCTAGAACCATCTGCATAAAGCCAAGCTGCATACCTAAGCTAGTTCTTTCTTTCTCTTCCCAGCTGTCAGTCCATGCCGTCAATTGCACCTGTTTTTCATCATTATCGCCATTGAAAGGAAAAAATTGTTCCATACGCCGACCTCTAGCGCCAGCTGAGCGTAGAATCCACTCATAATTGATGCCAGGACGCCTGCTGTTCAGTAGAGATGCTGGGAAAGGCGCAAAGAGACGATGGCATCGTGTGCTGGAGGCACCATTATCGCGTCTAATGTCATGTACAGGGGACTTCATCCAAATGTTAATCTCGCTGAAAGGAATGGTATTGGAGGTTTGGAGAGATGAAATGTTGGTGGCGATGGGGGCTTCGTGGCCTTGCGTTGCCAGCGGTCATGATTTGTATTGGAGGTTGCTAGTGCCGTTAGACAGTTAAATTGCTGCCAAAGTAGATTGGGTGGTACTTTTTAGCCCACTGCCTTGTCAAGATCGAAGCTGAGGTTCGTGTCAGTGACAGCCCGGAAGACCGAGTACGAAGACCTACCTTTCAAGAACTTCTTGCTTGCATATTTCTTGAAGAAGGCTTCATGCTGGACGGGTTTGTGAAGATAGTCAACCATGAGCCGGAAGACCGGCTTGATCTCATCCTCGGTGTATCCCGAGTAGTGAGCAAGAGTTGCATCCTAAGTTGGTCAATATTGTCACATCTTCACCAAGAGAGCTCATCGGATTAGCATACCCATTCGCCTCGTTCGAGGATCAGACGCGAAAGAAACATCGACGCAGCAGCGATGTGACTCGGGTGGAAGGCCATAAACCTATGATCAACCAAGCTAACCTCGAGCAGGTATTTCCCAAGAGTACGCGTCTGAATGTCATAGTTGTCGGCCTTTGAAATTCTTCGGAGGAAGTTCATCGGGTTGGGATAGCTCAGGTCATAATTGAGCGCGGCCAACACGAATCGCTCTGCCTTCAAGATTTCTTCTTCCGTGAAACCATCATCGGCGACATGCTTGAAGTTTTGCACATGGGGTGAGAGAACCTCCTCATACTTGGAAGCGATGAACATGGCCGTAATACCTACGAGTTGCAGCTTCTCCAATTCCACAACTCTAGCGGACAAGAATCGATCGATGATGTTGATGGCGAGGAACATTGTTTCAGGTAGCAGGTGGAAGCGAGTGTGAACTTCTATCAGCCAGTCGACAAGAACGCCGCGCAGGTGCCACTCCAGGTTGTCTTGGAAGTCCATATAGTCTGGGTTGGGCATTGTGGCTTCCTCGAGGACCTTGAGATACTCGAAGATCTCGCCAACATATTCTGCCACCATGAGAGGGTCATCATAATCTTCCGCGTCCAGATCTACGACGCCTTGTTCAAAGGCTGTCTTGACTTCTGCCTCTTCTTGTTTCAATTCATCTTCAAAGATCTGTTTCTTGGTCTCCACGACCCGCTCCACCTCAGTCACAACTATTTTCTTCCTTGGTGGCTCATTTTCGGAGTCTGCTTTCTCTTCTTTGATCGACTGTTGGCTGCCAGTTGAGCCTGTGTGCCTCTTCTTTGCGGCGGCACCCATCACACCAGATCCACTTGCAGGACGCTTCAGCTCAGTTGATGCCGCTCTCTTGTTGTTGTCCTTGGCTCCAAGTATAGAGCGATTTGAATTCGTACGCGAGATCTTCTGTACTCCAGCACTGGCTGCAGCCTTCGACACAAGTCCGGCCTTCCCACCCAGAGCCTTCTTCCCTTCCTTCGAATCAACCACCTCGTTCTTTGTAACGTTACTTACATCACCCAGTGCTGCTCGTTTCCGTTGCCCTGGTGCAGCGCTCGCGTTTGATATGTTTGTGGTGGACCTCTTGGTTCCCAAGGCTTTCTTGACCATTGCTGCACCATCTTCCGGCACGGTCAAAGCAGCGGCTTTAGCTCTGGTTAGACGTGTCGAACCACCGTTCTCATCGTTCTCGTTGGTGACAGCACGCCGTATCGATCGAGCCTGTTGCCGAGTCAGCCTTCAGGTTGATCCTGTCAACATCCAATACTGATCGAGCCCCAGCTGGAAGCAAACTGGGTTCGCGTCTGTTAGGCATGCAATGACTTACTGGAGGCATGTTGATCTTCTGCAACCACTGAGTATCGCGATTGACTTGGTAGGTCTGTAAAGTTGGCTGAAGAACTCCAACGTTGGCTACGGTTTCGCGGATCTTGTTCTGTGTGACAGCCTACGGGATCGAGGACATGTCAGCCTGAAGGGCATTCCAAAGCAACGATGTGTTCACTTAGTATATGCGGAGCGAGACAATATGGGGGACCGGATTGCTGCAGTTGGGGAAGACAGGGTAGTATTTCTCCGAATTTTGGCGCCTGGTACCATATGGCGGCAGCGGTTGCGATATCGAAGTATGGTCACGACAAAATTGAAGAAAGCTGACAGCTCAAGTCAAGAGGCCCGAAGTCTGCAACAACCTTCGAATGGAAGTGGTGTTGGAGACCACGGGTGTGGAAGGGTTGGTGGAGAGGGTGGGTGGTGATTTTGGAGACGGAGCGTAGAGGTAAACAGCACGTCGCCCTCTCTGCGCTAGCGGGCGATTGGCGTTTAGCAACAAACACCGAATGTAACCGAAGATGCAGAGTAAGTACAGGTCAATGCTGCGAGATTATGTTGTAGGAGGTGCCCACTGAGATGTAGAGTAGGATGTTGAGGGTCATGTACTTTGGAGAAAATATTTGCATTTCTCAAGCTTCTCCGTTGCTCTAAAGGTCTTGCATAGCAACCTCGCAGCAACGCGAGAATTCTTGCGCTATGCCATATCTAGATCATGACTAATCATGACAGGGATCTTGAGTATCCCACGCCGATTGTGGGCATTCAGAGCCTTCAGAATGCGCATTTCATCGTCGGATAGCCGAAGCTATTCCAAGTAGAGCTTAACTATCACGATGTTGCTGCTTCGGCTGCTTCGACAGCCAGTTCAACGCTGCCAAAGCCTCCACACATTCTCTCGCCGGCTGTACCCTACAGAGATTCTTCCACCTCCAGACCCATTGATTGCCAGAAATGAAACCCTAGGCGTCCAATCTCGGCCACAGTATACACCAGAAGAAAGGGGTGTCCCAATACTACGAACCTACAAGCCTCGCACGCCAGGTCTACGACATTTGAAGCGGCCCATCAATGACCATCTCTACAAAGGACGCCCCTACCTTCCATTGACCCATCCAAGAAGAGGTCAGCATATTGGAGGAAGAAACAGTCATACGGGCCAAATCACTGTTAGACATCGTGGCGGAGGTCACAAGAGGAGGATACGGACCGTTGACTTTCAACGACTAGAGCCGGGAAAACATCTAGTGGAGCGGATCGAGCATGACCCAGGGCGCAGTGCTCATATTGCGTTACTTACTCGGACTGTGGGTCAGACGAAAAGTTATTCATACATTGTTGCGCCACAAGGTATGAGGGCTGGGGAGGAAGTGGAAAGCTTCAGGCAGGGAATCCCTGAGAGGCTGATACGGGAGCTGGGGGGTGTTCACGATGCTGGCATGATAGCGGCAAAGACTGCATTCAGAGGGAACTGTATGCCACTCCATATGGTACCGCCTGGCAGCATTGTCTACAATGTCGGTCTCAGAAAAGGCGGGAAAGCACAGCTGTGTCGGAGTGCTGGGACTTATGCGCAAGTGATCAGTAAGAACGAGGGCGATCCAAAAAAAGCGTTATATGTGGATGTAAAATTGCAGAGTGGGGAGATCCGGAAAATTCATCGAGATTGCTGCGCGACCATCGGGACTGCCAGTAACGTCAACTTTCACCGGAGACAGCTTGGGAAAGCAGGTCGAAAACGATGGCTAGGTATTCGGCCCACAGTCCGGGGTGTCGCCATGAATGCGGCAGACCATCCTCACGGTGGAGGTCGAGGGAAGTCGAAGGGCAATGTGCACCCAGTCAGTATCTGGAATCAATTGGTACGTATAGCTGCAATCCAAGTTCGAGAGAGAAGCTAACAGTCTTGCAGACCAAGAGTGGCTACAAGACCAGGACGAAGTCGAATGTGAACAGGTTCGTCGTTTTACCTCGCCCGCGGTCGCAGGGAAAGAAAGCCAAGGCAAAGAAGAAGAAGAAGGCATCATGAGCATTTGGTACCTTAATGCAATGGGTCTCTGTGATCAGCAAAGTCACCTACGTCCATACTTTGACACTATTGGCTGGAGATCAAGGTGTAGATCATTGGCGGGATCCTATCACGACATACAGCTTCAGCAGACAGCTTGTGGAGTGGAGACAGACAGCTTGGGTGTCCATGCACCCTTTCTTCCGGGTTGCAGGAAGATGGCAAATGATTGAACCGGCAGACAAGGATGCTTGTTCTGTCCAGGCTCACGCAATGCGCTTCCGTCTTGCCAATGAGTCCCATTCGAGGTTGTCCCTCCCTCATCACAAATGGAACCGACGATGTGACATATCGAGGCAACCATGTACATAGTCAATACAGAGGACATGTCAAGCAGGCAAACTCCCTATCAGCGCATTATCGTTTAACAACCGGGTCAAGCAACTTGATACAGCACAAAGCACTCCCTCATCTTTTCCACATCTCGAAAAGTTGCTTAGTCTGGATTCACAGCCTAAGATCCCGAAAGATGCTCATCCTTTGATGTGCAATATGCAGCCTTTGGTCGTTTCTTCAGTACCGTTATCCCTGAAAATGATATTGATACTTGATAAGCCTGTCCCACCAGCATTGCAATGGTGCTAGATATGACACAGCCTCACCGAGACGCTACCTCATTGCAATAGATTGCTTCGGGCGCTACTCCATTCTTAGACCTCGTTCGCTGCGGGCCTCATGAGTCTTCGTTCCATCTGCCATCCCACCATATTCCTAGTATGAGGAGTCTGACCTCAAGTGCTTCATTGAGCCAAATCCTACACATGAGCATCGCAAAGCCATGTATATGAATCGAATACCACGACAACAAAGAGACCGAGCCCAGTCCTCGAGGTTTCTTCCTCTGAGAAATCTGCAATGACCGAGGATATTCATCTTGAGCGTGACGATGGATTCACCCGAATCCATTATCCAGATACTTCATGCATCAGTGAGGCAGATTGCAGAATGAGGAAAATGAAACAGTCCTCCGGCACCATGGGGGTGAAGCCTTGGAGTGTTGATAAACGCCAGTCTAGATTGGGCACGCAAGTCTTAGCTGATGCAGACTTCAAATCCTTCGACAACATGAAAACAACTTACTTCCCACCCCGAATCTTAAGCTTTCCTTCTCTTTCTTTTTCTCACTTGTCTTGTGTTGCGTTTTGGAAATTTAGCCAAAGGGGCGGCTACTGTTTATGGAATTATGGCGTCGCACATATTGAGCCTCCCTGTCTTTTTATCGCTACTGCAGCATGGAGCTGTCGCCCGAAACTCATTATGTACGCACTTGCAGCCCAACTGTTGCTTGTCATTAACAAAAGCAATGAAAGCCTCAGCAACGAGCGGTAACCTTTCGATTATCACTCCTACGATATCTACAGGCACATCACCAACCGTTACTGCCTCCCCCTCCCTGACTCGGGCTAGCAATCGATCGTCGAATTGTAATCCATGCCAAATCATCATCGCTTTTGACGGACACAATCGCAATTACTGGTTTACTTCTACTCTGGGCTTGACTTTAGATACGGCTTGGGAGATCATCACCAAATACAACAACACTGCAATCACCAACGCTACCACTAGCTATGGTATTATCAGTTCTGTGAAATTAAGCACAGTAACAGAAGCATCGGCAACAGTATTAAGGTAACTAGCACCAGACGTACGAACCCATCCATGCTTCGTGGGGACTTCCCTACCACAGAAGAACCATCTTTGACTCTCAGCACCGTAGCTACGTGTTCCATCGCCAGCGGAACCCCTTTTTGGCTAGCTAACAGCCTGGCGGTCTTGACAGTGTTCTTAATCTCTCTTCCATTCATGTCTATCTTGGCCAGAGCTTTCAGATCCTTCTCCTCAATGATGCTTGCGTATTGCGAAGCTTCACTTTGAGGCCGGACAAAAGTCCGCCACACAAGCATCTTGGCTCGAAAATCCAACTTCGGGTAATCGATCGTCAGATGGATTCGGGACTGGAAGGCTGTGTCGAAGGTGGATACCCGATTGGTTGTCAGAAACATGACGCCCTTGTAGTATTCAAGCAGACGAAGAAATACTGGACTCGAGCAATTAGCTCACTGGGCGGACCAAATTTCGTAAAGCCAATTGAATCCATCTCACCGGAGACGAGCTTGTTTCGCTCGAGGTCGGAAGTCGTGCGCCGTTCTAGGAAAACGTCGCATTCATCAATAAGTAGGATGGCTCCCCATTTGGTTGACAGTTCGAGCACCTTATGAAGCTGCTCCTCGACTTCATTAGCACTATGGCCAAGCTCTCCGGCGCTCATCGAGTATAAAGGTTTCCTCATTTCCTCGGCCACTGTCATTAATGAGCTAAAGTTTCTGAAGACCAAAACGGTAATGTGGCCTACCCGACTCCGCAGTGAGTGTCTTTCCAACTCCCGGCTCTCCGCTTAAGAGCATAATGATCCCCTGACCTTGTTTTCTACTGATGAAAATACCACAGCAGTCAAGAGTATTGAAACATACCTTTCCCTTCAACTACATCATCGAAACTATTTTCGTGAGATAATTGGCTCTCTACAAACGCCCAGATGATTTCCTTGTAGTCGTGTGGAAGGACGAGTCGCTGGAAGGCTTCCAGATTCCACCGAATCTCACGAACGCTGTCAACATAGAATTGCGCTTTGAAAGTGGATCAGTCATAAGCGGCAGTACTGCGGTGTGTTCAGCGACTTACCCCATTGTTTAGACGTCAAGCAATAACCTCTGACCATTGGCGTACACAGGACTGCTTGATCATCCGTAAGGCTAGTCGGGTCTTGGAATGAATCAGCATTTGGAAAGGTTCAACCAGGATGCTGACATACTTTTTGCTTGCACATCTTTAGGTCTACGCTTACCATTCATATATCTTTGTTCGTCGCGGCCCGTGGCTTCAACCGCGCGAACCGCAGGTGCATGAGGATGATTCTCATCAAACCCGAACTCACTGGAAGAGGAAGGCGGAAAATCATCCTCATTAGATTGCACACCAGAAGGTGGAGTGTCGACCGGCTCGAGGGTAAGAGTCTGTTGGGGGTTGTACGTGGACCACAACTTAGTGTCAATTATTATCCTGCCATCGTCGATCTGCGCACAGTCAGTCACTGATCGATGCAAACTTGAATTGATGTACATTTCGCTTGCCAGAACTGCCAAAGTGCCTTTCATTCATGGTACATAGTCCCGAATATGATCTATAGTGGAATCCATTCAGTTGTACGAAGGATTTTCCCCTCTTCTGTAATGCATCCCAGATTTCGCCAATCCGGGAATGCAGATGAATTGGCATGATGGAAAGCTCAGAAATGGGCTTAATGCCGTCGAAATTGCCAAGAGTAAGAGATGTTGTGACGTATCCAAATGCAGCCCCATCGCAGTCTATGTATCTGCATGTTAAGATGAGGAACACATCGTCCCCAAATCTACGGTAGCTGGAGTCGACAAGCTTATACAAGCGATCCTGACCATCAGATTGCCTGTAGATCACAGCATCGGGCTCGAACAGCGCCCAAAGGTAATCAAATGTGACCAAGCCATTATCGAGCAGCTCCTGTCTTTTCTCGAGGTGGGGTTGTATCTCGCCACTGATCACATTCTGCAGCAACATGATATGCTCCAAGACCAGATCGTCCGTCTCCTCTCTTATCTGCTGCTGAAAGCAATCCCAGCGATAGAAGAATTCATGAAATGGGGCATTGAACGTCAGATCTTTGAGCTTGGTGGTCATTCCTTTGTAACCATCAAAGACAACTCCTAACACCTTCCTGATCAATGGGCTTTGGACCGAAACCGAGTGTAAGACCAGACTCGAATTCTGTGCAACGCTCTTTTCACGACGCACGATGAGTGCGTATTTCTTTGCTTCCGGTGTTTCTTCGGGGTCCAAGTCAATGTCATCAGGACTCCAGTCATCCCATGGATATCTTTCGTCCTCTCTGTAGAGCTCCTTCGAACCAAGTGTCATTCCTGTGGGAACAGGCTGGTCTGCAGCGCCAGGTTTTCTGTCGACGAGGACCTCATCCCTCACATCTTGCGGCGGAGTTGGCATCTCCAAGTCAATCGACTGCATCTTTTCAATTAACGCTGAGTGCGACAAGGGAATTTGTTTGCTGGGAAGTGATGTCACATACCGATGGTTGACTGGCGATATCATCCGCAAGACTGATTTCAATGTCCATGGTGGAGATGGGTATTGTAGCTGCAAATTGATGATTTGGAAATCAAGTGGGTGCTCTTGGAAAGAAGAATAGAAATCCAGCCTTCTCTGCGGTTCATTTGCGAACTGTTTCAGCCGCCTTCTTTGGCCTCCTTTTGCCTCGTTGCCCTAATGTGCATTGTGCATGCATAAAGTATGCGGTAATTAATTTAGCATATTTAGCGTATCCAAAACCCTCTGGAATGCTTGGCACCGGAAATCTTTCACCCAAATTCGTACTGTAGCATAGAAATCTCTCCGCAAAATCATTCAATAACACTGCTATCGTTAGTATAGGTCCCAAAATGGAAAAATGAAGCTATACTGAAGTCTTGGCATGTTCCTCAGCCCCCCAATTGCCATGCCTCTTCCCCTTGGTACTTCTGCTCAGGCGAAGGCCGAGCATCTTCTTAATTGGTATTGAAGGCCTTCGCAAGTAGCCAAAGAGATCCGCTATTCTCTTAGTATTGTTTATAGCTAGGATCAGCGCCTGCAGATGTATCGCACTATAGGCCCTCTACCTCACGCCCTACCTGATGACCGCCCCCATCAAGGGGCGGCGACGGCGGCGGTTCGGTGGCTGCTGCGTTATTGGTGCGTTTGTAAGACATGGCTGAGGTTTGTATAGCTTCAAAATTGTCCAATGCGACTATTTGCGATATGGCTATTTGATTTGAATGATGAGATTTCTATGCTACAGTACGAATTTGGGTGTGTGGTGTGAAAGATCTCCGGTGCCAAGCATTCCAGACGGTTTTGAATACGCTACAGGGGAGGCGTGGACGTGAACTCCATGTGGTGTTCGCTATTAAGGAGTCTAACCCTCTCAAACGCAGGTTGGTCTGTTTTTAGAAACCCTGACGCACACTCATCCTACAGGAGCTCCTGCCAAGATCAGTGAGAGGCATTATCTATTTGAGCCTGGGAGGAGCCTTCGACATTGAAAGCCATCAACTCGACCGTGATCATCTCCTTGCGAGACAGGAGATTTGCTACCTGTTGAGATTTGATCCATTCTAAAGAACTTCATGCCACGGAAGGTGGGTCAATTCTGGGCACCGTCGCTCAGCCTTGTCTGCGCATTAAATGTCCTGACCTCTCGGCGCTGGCGAAGTAAGTCAACCAAATCTAAACAGCATTCTTCACGTATGCAATTCTACCACAATTCTACCTTCCATATCGTGCATGCCATATCCATGGTCCGCTAAATATCGCATTGGAATTGTCCGTTGCAGCCTCGCTATGAGAGACGATACCAGAGGCGATGAAGCCGGCTCCGGCGGCTTTGACTTCTCCTCGAACGTAGATGCAATTCTCCAACACCGGGTTCAAAGGAAGTCGGCTGCTCGATGGGCGAGAAATCTGAGATTCCTCACATTTGCTGGTGATGAGATTCACACAGACGCCAAAGTTTCAGAGGGATCCGACTCAACGAGAGAAGTGCACTGGGGCCGATGTACTCGCTGTGAACTGCGAACTCCGCCTGCGGCAGGACACATATGTGCTACCCATGCTCAATCCAATAACACCGACATAAAGACATACGAGAAGCGGGCCAAAGAGTATACTGATCCTTGCATACACGTGGAAGATGCGTCTTGTGAAGAGTGTATGCAGATACCCCTCTTTCCAAATCATGGTAAGGCGACGAATTTCCGCATCAGAAGGCTCAAACCAAAGGGCACGAGGCCGTCTGAATTAGGGATCTGCACTCACTTTGTGGCTGTCTCCTACTGTTGGTCCAGCGCAAGCGCTCGAAAGTCAAGTGAGCCTAGCACGGAGGGCAAACAGTATCAGGTCCTTGAGGAAAACATGAAAACAGTGCGTCCCATACGCGCTCCAAAAGATACCATTGATCGAGCAGTGAGCTTCGCCGCCCAGAATGGATATCGAATGATTTGGATCGACCAGGTAATTTACTCTTCTGGTTTATCATCCTAAACTTCACCAGCCCTAACTCAATGCAAAGGAATGCATCGAGCAGGACAACGAGAATGAGAAAGAGCTGGGTATCCAAGCGATGGACTTTGTGTATGTCAATGCGCAGATCTCCATTGGTTTGTTCCAAGCAACACTCGAACAACGCCATCTTGACGCTCTGCTACTATTTTTCGAATGGAAGATTGGGTCGGATATGCGACGTCGTGGACCTCGCCCACTCAAGCAGTGTCGAAGTCTCCGAATAAAGAACCTTGCTGAAGCTTTGAGCATGATTGCAATGGACAGATGGAATACGCGCGCATGGATTCTCCAAGAAGCCTTCGCGTCAGGTGGTAACATGATTCTTTTATTCCCTCGAGCAAAGGAGATGGCTGTCAGAGGCTGGAGTCTGATCTGCCACGATCTGTCTCTTACCGAAATTGGCATCAAGCTTGACATACTACAGAGGTGTATTAAGCAATCCGTTGGCCTCTTCACCCCAAAGCCTGACAGCAGTATCCCCATCAAGCTTCCGGAATGGATAGAGGCCTTGAAACGTCTCACGTGGTTCCAGCCCGAGACAAGCACTCGGCACATGTTCAATTTCTGGATCAATGATGCCAAACCTAGACGCACATGCAATGCCGCTGTGGCGATGTCCTTTTTGAAGCACCGAGACAATGATCGTGTAGCCGACAGACTGGCCATACTTGCAAACCTATGCGATTATAGTCTGCGGCTGAATACTGTGGAACTAGAGAAGTCTCAGGGTCGTCTAAGCGTCTGTGTTCTTGCACTGGCTATAGCAAACGGAGACTTTTCATTGCTCTCACCAGAGTCATACCATATTCCTCGTGGATTGGACGTCAGTATGCTTTTCCAAACAGTCCACACGACCAGAAACAAACATTTACTAACAGCGAATAGCCCGGAACAAAGGCGACAAGGAATTTACCTGGGTTCCTCCCAACGTGACGCAACTCCAGTATATCAGATCGAGGACTGCCGATCCTGGAGGGGCGACTCCCGGCCGAGTCTCCCCCGTCTCTTACCGGGTAACAAACGAAGGGCTCTCACTCCGGGGTTTCATGTGGAAGATCGATCGTTTTGTTGAACTGCCGTCTATTAAACACAAGTACAAAGAGTCCTGGGCCAGGCTGTGGCGCCCGAGTACAAGGCTCGAGGAGCAGTCCTTGGAGGTGATGGAAAAGCCCTACATCTTCCAGCAAGTGTCTAGGGCACACTGGCTGGCAGTCACGCATATTTTCTTTGAAGTGATTGAACTGCTTCGCGAGAAAAACCAGATAAGTGTAGCAGACGCCGTATGGCATTCTGTGACGAATGCCGATTGGAGAAAAGGGAGATTTCTGGAATCCGTCGCCGAGTTCCCGGAGCAACTGACAGTTGAGAAGCGTAAGGGTATGTTCCGTTTAGAACAAAGCACGGATGGATCTCTTGAGCACAAGTGGTTGATTGATAGGATCATGCTCCAAGGAGGCCTATGGATTCGCCGACGGGTGCGACTTTCTACCGATCATGAATTCAGTGATGGAACACCCTCTGGATATGGCGAGAGTGACGCCGTGTCTGGCGAGGATCAAGTCGGCTGTGCTACCCAGGATCAACGGCTGGAAGCCAAGTTCCGCTCTCCTGCTCGGGAGCATACAGCACCGAACATAGAGACGCCTAGAGCTGTATCAGCTTTTCAAGCTGATGACGTCGCCAGAGAATCAGGTCAGCCATCTCCTCTGGCGTCCGTTGATGGGTCTATGGTCCCAGCAACCCCGCACTCCGGAACCAAATTGTCTGACTCTCTTCGCAAACCAGAGAAAGCCCCTAAAACCCATTCTGACTATCAATCCACGCTTTCCATGATGATGAAAATGCACGATCATAAGGCAATTACGAAGGATGACAGTGAGGGAGAGGTCGATGACCCTACCGATCCCGATAAGGCCTTCAGGTTCTTACCGGAGAATATAGGAGATTTCGTTGCATTTATAAACAATATGGATGGTAGGAATTCTCAGACGTCTCTTCGGCAACAGCGCGCAGTCTTCGACATCGAGGGCGACACTTCAGGACAGGTTTTGGTACTGACCCCTTTCCAAAAGCGGTTGGAGACGCTACCTCGGCCTGAGACTCGGAGTATGAGCGTATCTTGGGTGGTGCAACCTGTTTCAAATCTTGCCGGATCCAAAGACAGTCGAAGATCAGAATTCTTTGGAAAGGTCGAAACGCTGAAAACCTCAGGGATGGTTCGTGGAATGTGGAAATATATGGTGCAACCTGAGGACAGATACAATCTAGTATAGGCTCGCAAGCTACACAAAGTAATCAAAGAAAAGCTTTACATGTTTAGGATAAGGCATTACCATGAGTAATGTTGTGACGCTTGAGAAGAGTCCGTCTTGTTGGCGTTACCTAGGAAACTGATTGAGATGCCATCCGCCAAGGCGTGCTTTGTAGGCGTACTACCAGATAGAGCACTATTTGCGTTTAGGTGTCTGATCGATATCTAATGACAGGGGTTGATAGGGCTCACAGCTCGGCAGGGGTGAAAAAAAGTTCGGCAGGGGTGAGTAGATGCTAAGTATATGCACCTCGTCCGGGGTGAAAGGGATACACTCAGCATATGCCAGCACCTCATCGGGGGTAAAGAAAATTAAATTCAGTCCAGCGACATTAGCTCGCGCGGGGTAACTCACCCATAAATTTGAAATTATCTCTTTTATCTATCGCAAATTTTTACTCTCACCACGCCGTGACATCTAATATGTCCACCTAACAAGTTCATCACGCTGCCGCGGCGGAAATCACTCAATAGTTTGACAAGGTTGAAGTACTTATACACAACACATGCATTACACATGCACCGCATATGTTAACGAGTGAAGTCTACAGCGAAAAGTAGATTATGGGTGAGGCATATGCATAGTATATGCCTGTATCCCCCTCTAAAGTGCCAACATTATTTTGGACCCGGCCCGAGTTCATCCGGGGTGAAACGGATACGTTCAGCATATGCTATGAGTTCATCCGGGGTGAAGCGAGCATATGCCGAAGCTTCACCCCTGCCGAACTTTTTTTCACCCCTGCCGAGCTGTAACCCGGGGTTGATACAGTCAGGTTTCGCTTAAGGAAGACAGCTCATTGAATCGCCGATGATTTGATTATTGACGTAAATCTCATACCTGCAGAATTTCTCCTCCAGTTCCTCCGCCCAAAATTCAGGGATATATCCCGGCCATACCCCCACCGCCCCCGACTGGGCGCCGCCCTACTAATATTCGAACTGGGTTGTTGCCGCCCCGATCAAGGGTGAGCTTGTGCGTATTCTACCGCTTATACGTTTTTCCGCTGCCGAACACCTGTTTGCAAATTTCCCTAGCGAAGTCAACGCCCTTTTGTGACTAGATCAGGATCCGAATCCTTACAATGGTGTTGGCAGCGGTGCAGATCGTTAAGCTGTCACCCTACAAATACGGAACATCGCGGCAATGATGTCAATCCTTCAATCTTCCATTCATTCAGCTGTACAAGAATAGACCAACGTTGTGCCATGGTCGCCTTTGGCGTTCCGCTGCGATAAAAGCTCGGGGATTTCTTTATATACTGATTCCTGACATGACTTGGTCTTGACCAGTTTTCTTTTCTTTCCTTGCTGTGTCTGCCTCTCAACTTCGCCCGCGGACCCTCCTCAACCCATGGCGGATGTTCAAGTCCGCACATCAGTCGAATTGTCCGAAATAGAGTCTCTCGCTACCACTGCTGCATCCATCGGAAGACCGCCGAGTCGACATCAACCAGCAAAATCTGCCGTCGACCGAGCCAGTCACTCGCTTGGGAAGCTAAGTCGAAAGAAGAATCTCAAGGTATTGGACCTTCTGGTCGTGCTGGTAACTTGGATATGCCTTGCCATCGCAGTCATCGCTATCACGCCTCGTTTGGATGTTGCTTGGACCCTTCGACTCCAGCATCAACTTCAAGTTATAGGCCTCATGCTCAGCATCATGAGTCAGTGCCTTCAAATTCTCGCTCCAAATTTATGGATCATGGTAGAGGCTTGGTGTAGCAAGCCCAAATTACAGAATTTTGATGCTATTTTTCGGAATTCGATCATGGTATCGAATGCTCACTTGATTTGGCGAGCTCTGTTGCTGGCATTCATCGTTTTGCCAATAGGCCTCAGTCTGGCGTATAAGGTCTTCGTGGGAGGACAGAGTACGCATGATTTCGGCAACCATACAAGTTGGTACGGTATGACAGGAGCCCCTGGGCTGACAAGAAACACTGTATTAAGATTTGGTCCTTCGTACATGACCAACGCAACACTACCTTTCATTGCGGCTTCGGCAGACTTCGAGACTCTGCCATCGTTTCCGCAGCCTTACGGATTCAACAATCTCGTCATCTCTAACACATCCTCCGCGTTTCTGGACGCCCCACTACCAAGTCAGGTTCCGCTACTTCAGCAGAGCTTGCACGAGGACACTACCAGTACCTTCACGCTCACCGCAGATGTGCACGCAACGGTCACAACATACAACCACTCCATCGAAACTAGTCGAGATGATGACGCTTTCTGGGACTTCTACCTCAACCAGATGGGCTTGAATAGCGCACCAGATTCTTTCTCACTCGGTATATCCTGGATCGACCTAAGCAGCGGCAAGACTCTGGGCATACTCACCGGCAACCAGACAGAAGATGCGTCCTGGATCATTTTATCATTTTTTCAACAAAGCGATCATTTGAATTCTTCAGATATCTGGATCCCTGCATTCCGAGCCAACGCATTCCTATTTAACACTCGTCGCGAAATCTGCAACGCCACATGGCATATCACGTACAACTCTATGCAGCTCACGGAAGGCAATTGCTCCGTATCATCGCCACTACCAAACCAAAACCCTCTCTTCACTACCAACCTCGCTTTCAGCACTTACTACATGCCCAGTCTGGCCGAATACCTAGCACCGCTCTCGACGCCAAGCAGTGCCGCCGCGACCGAGCAGAACGTATACGAATGGGGCAACCAATGGTTGATGTCAACATTCACAACTACCGTTGCAGGGATGTATTGGTCGCGGTTGACCGCCCTTCTTGGACCCGACAGCTACGTCAACGGCACGATTCCGGCGTACAATGACGAAGTCAACTACACAATTCCCGACACGCTGCTGTCGAACAGACAAACAATGAATCCTTCCTGGGCCCTTTACGTCGTGCTTGGCGTCCAGCCTGTCCTCATCAGTCTCATATTCATCGCTAGCTTCGTCCTCAGCTACTTCTCCGCCGTCGACGGCGCCAACTTCGGTATCATCGCCATCCTTGCCGGAGCGCGAACGGAGACTTTGAAGCTCTTCGATGGGGCATCGTTCTCAGGTACGCTCAAGAAGCCCGTGGGCGTACAGATCGACACCATCACGACGAGACACGAGAACGGACCACAGATAGAGTACGCTTTCTACGACGATGGCATCCCCCCGGAGCCGTCCGCCACAGCAACCTGGCGACACCACTTTATGCCGTCCCGCTTCGACACGAGGAAGAACACCGGGTACCACAAAGTTGATGTGTAGCCTAACGTCTTGAGTTTCTGGCTATATGTGGGTGATCTTGGCGTGGGGAAAAAACCCACCGCTTGGGTTACGTGTGCGATGTATCTACGGCATTCCACGGCTTTGTGGTAGCATTCTACGTTCTTCCTGATCGAAATGTTAGATAACTCGGTTTTCGCTCCAAGACATATTATTTTCTAATTGCCCTCATCATTTCTCCAGTACGCTAATCAAAAACCATCCTCCTTCATCGCGTTCTCTCGCCCTCAAGCCAACCGAATGAGAAATTTCATTTATTCTCAGGGAAAGGATTCTGCATCAATCATCTTCGTTTCCCCTGATCAGATGTTATACTACACAACACAAGATCACGTTGGCCACCGAATTGATGCCCCCGTCCCTTGCCCTAGCCTCCAGCCTATCCATTCGAACGATCAACAGGGGCGGATCAATTCGAGATCGGTGTTGCCGAACGAGTGATCCGTGGCTGCGGAAACGGAATCCTTCTGCGAAGACCGCGTTGTCAATGCTGCGCTACTGTAAGGCAAATGCAAGGGTATACCAGAAACTCCCATGAGCCCCCACAGAGTGGCCCGTCCACGTCACATACCTTGGCGAATCGATGCGGCCTTTTTTCAAACGGTAGATTTACGGTTCCTGTACGCTTTCTCAAAATCAACGTACTTCTAAGGGTCCTCCGCCTTTAGGCGATGAGGGTTTTCATACGTGTCTAGGAAATTACGGTTAAATCTCTAGAAACGTTTTTTTGAATCTAAACAAATCTTCCCCATTCGGACTCGCTTGCGAGCTGCAGCATACTCGACTTATCAACAACGCATTTGGAACTTTGGACCACATATTTACGGCGCTGACAGTAGAGTACGAAAGGCCTCAATCTCTCAACGACGAGCGTGAGAGGACGACTCCTTGGGCCTGGGACCGCTGGTATGCATAGAAGGGCCGGGGGGTGAAACAGGGTCATGTCCGGGTGGCTCGGCTTTGTGGGTATTCTTTAGCATGAGATCGGGAATCTTATTGCTGCGTAGACAAGAAAAGTGTTAAAGTTGACAGTTATTTAATGACAAATAAAGTGTAGCAGCTACAAGTACGGAAGACACGAAGGTCCCTAATGGCCCCCACCCGAGTCACCCGAAGCTGCCGCTTTTCGAATGAGTAAGGTACCTTACGGTAGCTTAGGGCTTGCAGCACTGGTACGATAGCCCACACTGGTGATGCATCCGGGTGATGCACTTCTTGGGGACTTCTTCTCATTCAGTGTCTGGGCTTAAGGAGATACCCTGCAAGTTTGCGACACGTATCAACCATACGCAACGGTAAGATGGGACTCCTGCATATTACGATCCGACCTTGCAGAAACAGAATCCTTCCGCCCTATGATTCAAGGGTGTGAGGCAGATTCCTTGCTGCACGTCAATAACACCATGTGCCCAAAGCCATTCTGCAACACTCGGATCCGACTGCCTAAAAGTGGTTTGGTGCAGGAACCGGATCCACCAGTCTGGGTACCTAAAGGTGGGAACAGTTTCCTTCAATCAATCGCCTCGGATGCATGTCAGACGTTCCGTTGCAAATCACGAGCACGAGCGAGTTATTATACCCTCACTTATGCCCTGAGTAGCCAACAGAGAGGGCAGAACGTTCGCATCGAACAGAATCATCGGTACTCTCCAAGAATCACACGATTGTATCCTCGGCATCCGTTTGGTCGCATAATCTGGGCTTGTTTATGAGTGCCTGTGCACTGATCGAGCTACTGCCCTCAAGGCAAATAGTCTTCGCTCATCTTTCCACTCATTGAAGTAGAGGTCTGCAGAGCGAGAAGACACTGGCGATCAACGCCTTATCGAGCACATCCACGGCACAGACTGGTCAAAGCATGCATGGTCAGCCAACTCTCAGTCCACTCTGCTAGTGCAGCCGAGAAGTGAATCTTCTTGGGGGTCCAGCACGAATATACCCACCGACTGGACTGTTCTAACTGTACATTGATGATACCATAACCGGCATCGATTGGTGGCTACTTCCGAGCCAAGAGGATGAATTTTCCGGCGGTAAGAGTACCTTGCAGAGGATCGCTCCGTGGTCTTCTACACCGCAACCATGAATCGAGTCTGGAACAGGGCAAGAGATGTGGTAGGGTTCTACGAGACTGTGGTCATGTGCATGATTAGCATTTCGCAGCCCTTTGATATCTGACATTTGGTAGCCGTGTTGCGGTATCAATGGTGCGGGGTATCGGAGTCTACTTGTGGTTGGAGGAATGACTTCCATCATACCAAACTTTCCGGTTTCTGGTACAGAAATGTTTTGGCGGAGGGGGAGGCTCATTGCTGAATCCCTGCCGATGGGAGCGTACCCAAACGTCTCCAAAGTCCTGGGTGGAAACGAAGACTATTCATTCCATCCCTCCTAGCAGCAGTGGTGGCAGTATCGAGATGATAAGAGAGATACAATACCACTGGAGCATGTCTTCATGTACGGAATACGCGCTCCAACCAAGACGGATTTGTAAAGAGTGCGGACAGTTGCAGCCGTTCCTCTCGCCTATTTATATCTGCTGAAAGAAGAAAGAGCAAAACGACAAGGCTGCTTCTTGAACTTCCATTCTATCGGTGTCCGACCTCTTTTTTCTTTAACCCCCCCTCCACTCCCCTCACACTTCCAAGCAGTCCACGAAGCCATAGGTACCGTCAAAGTCAGCAAAATGGAAGAAGATCGGGGCTCGATTCTGACTTCCAACGTGCTTGCGTTTGGCATCGCCACTTTCTGTTTTGTCACCCTCCGAATCAGCTTTCGTCTCTACACTAGGAAAACATCCACTTCAGACTGGGTTCTTGCAGTCGCACTAGTAAGTCGTGCTCTGCCACCTACCTCGCATGGCGGAAGATAATGCATGGATCCGTAGCCTCGGAATGTTGGCCGTCGAGGCTGATGATGTCGTGACAGGTTTCATCGCTCGCCCAGGATGCTTTCAATGCAGCCTGTGAGTTGTATCGCCTTTGCGACTATCTCCTTCAATGTGATCAATGCTGATGTTCATCTTCAGGCGTCACGCAATGGGGCTATGGCCATCACAACCGAGATCTCTCGGTGCGCATTCGCTCTTCGCCAGAGCCACTGAAAGTGAGCCGCTCGTTACGTGCAAAGCTTGTGCAAAGCTCTGAATTACTTCCAGCTTCTTTGGCTGAACCAGGTGTTCTTCAAATTGACCACAATGTCGACGAAACTCTCCATCTGCCTCATTTATTTCCACATTTTCAAGAAGGCCAACTCCCGCCTGATCCGAGCCACGCGCATGGTGACATATGGCACGACTCTCCTCATCGTCGGTTATTACGTACCGGCTTTCTTCGTCAGCATCTTCCAGTGCACTCCCGTATCCAAATCATGGCATCCCAAGCAGCCGGGAACCTGTATCGACCTCGACAACTTCCGTTTCTACACCGCGGCCGCCAACATCGTCACCAGCGTCCTGGTGATCGCGACCCCTCTGCCCGCGCTCGGCAAGATGCGGCGCACCCGGCCCGAAGTCACGGAACTCATGGGACTGATCCTTCTGGGCATGGTGTAAGTGGCGGTGTGCCCCCGAGACAACCGACCGGACAGCCCGCTGATCCCACCGCAGTCACACGGGTTGCACGATCGCCAGGCTGGTCCTCATGGTATACCCGGATCCCGCGACCGGGACCGACCCGCAGTGCAAGTTTCGCTCCCTTCCGCCGCATTCCCGCCCGGTGATTTTTTAACAATCTCCCAGGGGCCAATGTCAACCCGTTGACCATCGCCATCGTCGAGATGGACGTCGGCATCATCGCCGCGTGTCTCATCGTCATGCGTCCCTGCTTCGAGGCCATCCACAACGCCGTCCGGACGTCCTGTCGCTTCCCCGGCCTGTCCTCCGCGAGGAGCGATTCCGACACGATATCCTCCCGGGTCGCGAGCGCACCGCGGGATAAAGGCATCGTCCGGACCGTCGATTTGGAGCTGGAAAGTCATCCCGGCTCGACCCGTGTGGTCACGCCTAAAGACCTGCTGTGATGGACTCCCTTAACCCGGTCATCTGGCCTTGGGCTACCTTCTGTGAGTGCTGCAAACGGTCCGCGATCTTACATCGATAAAGGTGCCTATTGTCTATACGATGTCGGACTGGTCAAGCCTGTGTGGCTGCCATGGGCAGAAGTCCCTGAATGTGGGCTTGGGGCATTTCTCAACCGGGGGAAAAAAAGACGTATGACAGATGCTGGGATAGGTTATAGGAAACAGAGTGGCTTCCTGTAATAGGAGTCGAATTTAGATACTCGCTCTGTTTCCCCCTTGACGCAACACTGTCCCGCACCGGACGCAGAAGCCAATCCTAGTCGTACATCCTCTCTCCATTCATTAGCAACCCTCGTGACTACAGACATTGCCAGCTCGACAGCGATTTAGAATCCCCCCCTACGTAGGTGCTCCGTGACGGATACCTAGACCGTCATCAGCATCTCCCGTCGTACTAGTACATGTAATCCCAACAGCCTCACCTGCAATGCCGATGCCGAAAGTCCACCCCCAGTTCCACGCTGTCATTCACAAACTTAGTCCCCACGATATCGTCCACCGCGGTGCCATTCTCCACCCAGTGCACCAACGCCGCCAGCACGTTGTTGGCCCTCGCAAACGGCACGCCCGCCGCCGACGCCCCGCCGCCCTGGCCCATGACCCAGCCCCCCGGGCCCGAGTTGCAGTGGTACATGCCCGGGACGCGGAAGAAGCGGAAGAAGGCATCCAGCGCGTCGGAAGGTGCCGGCGTCCCGCGCGAGAGGCGGTCGTAGAAGCGCTCGGTGTCGAAGCTGGTGATCTGGTTGTCCTGACCGCCGTGGTAGAGGAGCATCTTGCCGCCCCGGTTGCGGAACCCGCAGAGGCGGTCGGGCCAGGTTCGGATGTCGGAGGGATTGAGGGTCTCGGCTTTGGCGGCGTCGTGGATGTCGAAGGTGGCCGCGTTCCAGGAGGGGTCGTAAACGACGTATTTGAACCAGCTCTGAAGGGGGGGAAGTGTTAGCGAGGGTGCCGGAGAACCTCTTTTGGGATGTTCGTTACCTCGGAGTAGCTGAATGGCTTTCCGGCGTACAAGTTCTCGGCGGCCAGGATTTCACTGCCAGGCTGCATCGCGGGGTAGATAAGGTTCCCATCCTCCCCGTAAAAGGGGCTGAATATCTTCCGGACCGTTTCCACCTGGGTTGACGTTAAACAGTTTGTAGAAGCGTTCTTTGCACACAGCAGTGCTTCGGGACGGAAGCTGCACAGGTTGGGATCCTCGATGATACCGTCCATGACGCCATCAAGGCCATCACACTGCTTTAGGACTTCGTCATGTATCAGAGTCGTCCAGGATGCCGTCGAAATAAAACCGGAAGAATTGGCGGAACCGGTGATGGGAAAGAAACTCGCTCTCCAGGATTGCAGATTGTTGAAGTCCAGGGCAGGAGAGCCTGCTACAATGCCATCGAAATCACCCGGAAACATGTCAGCGGCTTTTATACCTTGACGTCCTCCAAGGGAGCATCCGAGGTAATAGGACTTCTTATAAGCCTTGTCATAGAAGAGGTTGGTTAGTTTCTTGCCAGCGACAGTAATCGTGTGAAGGCTTCAAGATGGACAAGGTTAGCGACCCTCGGTGACGTGTACAAGGGAAGCGTAAGGCAACAAACGAGGACAACGCACGATCTCCAAGCAAAATCGGTAACAACATCCGGGTTATGGTACATTGTAATAGCAGTGGTGCCATTATGACCGTTATTCGAGCCAACAGAGGCAAAGTTGTTTTGCGTAGTGTACGCGAGATCCTCATATTTGATACCTATATTGACTCATCAGTGCTCTCACTCAAACAATAACATCATTACCGCACCACGCCCTGCAGTACGAAGAAAAGGAAAGGAAAAACTCACACCCGTCTATGCCTCCATTACCCGTGACTAGGAATCGGTGGCTCCAGTCTTCCGGAAGCCATAGTTCGAATGATATACTGGATCTGTTCGATGTTGGTATGGACAGTCCCACACGACAGATATCCACTGCAACTATTTGACTTGGTCGAGCACACGTAGGATCGTTATCCGGGAGAGTGAGATTCGTGCCCGCGGCAACATATGTAAGCAGGTGACGGGTACTGTTGTATATGTATGCTTCTGGCGTAAAAGATATACATCTGTCCTGGAAACTGAGTACCGCATGAACTGCCAAGGGAAGGCATAGCGTCAGAAACGCTACGAGGCTTATGCTGCGAGCCATGCTCTGCAAAACTGTCCCTGCGGCTTCAGTTACAGGATAGAAGAGCACCGTGTCCCACAGTGAATCAAGATCCGGCCCCTAAGCGCTCGCACTCGCTTAGTACTCTAATCCTTCACCCCCGACTGAGACGCACGAGTCTCCCTGGGGAACATGCAGACTGCTGACTAAGACTTGGCCAATTGAATTTCATCAGTGCAGGCACCATTAGCATCAATAGGTCGCCAAATGATTCTCGGCTCAGCTACTTAAGTACTCATATGCTACCAGAGGACTGCAAAAAGGTCGACGCAAGCTTCATGGCTGGCGCATGGGCATCGCCGCCTGCGCTCTCTTGGCTGCAGTGGTCCTGACTGCAAATACTGCCCTAACGGTTCGGGCCTCCATGAGGTACGGAATTCACGGAGGCGCTGGAACAAACCAGCATGGAAAGCGCAGAGGGACCAAGAATGTAAGTCCGTGGCTCCATCTGGTCATCAATGTCCAATCAACACACTTCTTCTGAGCGCCAGCAACTATGCAATCGAATGCCTCTCATCTCGGAAAGAAGTCGACAAAGCTCACAAGCGCGCTACATTTGGCTTGACATCGGCATTACAAGCGTAAGGGACCTAAGAAGTACCTTAGCGGAGGGCTATGAGTTCCGGTAAGCGTATCTAAACGGTATTGATGTGCGGGACCGCTTACTGGCGGTAAATAAGTATTAGCACCATACTACCGAAAGATTTATATTACGTTATATTCTTCGAACGATTGTATTTGGATTTCTATATTCAAACGTATCCATGTAGAATACGTTACTAAGAAAAAATCGAGTTATTAAAGAAATTTTATAAAGCTATTATAGTATCACTAAGCTAAGTACCCGAAAATACTATCCAGAGAAAATGATTAGCGCCCTTTAGAAATTTAACTTTGGAAATGATTGATTGAGGTGATTTTCTCGAGGTGACTTCGACGATACCTACCTAGCCCGCAGGGTATAAGGGCAATAAGGTCTATCGGGCCTAGGGACTAAAGGCTGGGGGCGTCAAATATGTTATTAGACCCTTATCGGATCTCGAACTTCACGCTAGTCGAAAATTTACAGGTAATATATCAAGGATGGGCGAAACATCTTGTAACTTTGCTACGACTCTCATACATGTCCATCAGAGATGCGCCACTGTTTCCGACCTCTAACCGCAGGCCCTTCGCCAAGCGTCACTGAGTAGAAGAATGTAGTAAAAATTCGTGCATAGAGGGCGCAAGCTCTTATGAATAATGGAATCGTAGAAATCCTACAGTTGCCCGAAGATAGTACCGATCTTCAAGAAGTTTTCCCAATAATCGTCGTTTGTTTGCGAGGGAGAAATTCAGGCGCAGTGCCAGCAAAAAGTGATAGTTTTCATACACATTCCTTTAAAGATCATGTCTATTTGAGATCCTTTGACAGAAGAGTCGATTTTTCTGATCGAAATCCGCAAAAATATGCGCAATTAATGACATTCTCTCATGCTCCTCTGTTCCTACAATCTCTTACATTCCTATAGACCTCTACCTCTTCTTCTACACGGCAGCGTGGTCGGTGGTCCTTCATCTGTCCGTGTATATCTTGGCTGACGAATGCTATCGTGTTGGCCAAAACGAAGGGCGTGTCTTGTAGGCGTGCTGCCAGAAAGAGTCTGTAGCGGCGGTAAGAGTCCTAAGCATTGTCTGAGTCGGGTCTGTATATCTAATGACAGTGGAGACTTTCGGCTCAATACCCATAGTATGTGGCGAGACCTAGACACTACAACAGTCGTAAGCGCTCGAGTCTGCCGCTTTTGCTGGCAGCTTGCGTTGTGGTTGCCCGTGATAGGGGACGATGGGGCCGTAAGGGGAAGGAGTTGGCAGAATGCCCACTTTCTAATCATGCCGTGGATCAAGAAAGCTTATGAGCGAAAGGGTGTTGACTCTTTGGCTAGATACGTAGACGCAGCGAAAATTATTTCAAGAAAGGAAAAATCTTCTTATAAACGACATTAGCTTCGCTTCATGCATATCAAACCGAATCATTCCAACCACCCTAAAAAATCACATTCACATCGCCCAATACCCCGTACCCCTCCCATCTCCCCACCAACAAGCCCCAACATCCACCACCAACCCTTCCCCCATCCAATGCCCCCACCATCCACCCCCCCCAACCCCAACCCAACCTGCCCCTTCTGCGCCATCGCCCTCGCCAACCCCCCCTCCCCCACCCGCCTCCTCCCCCCCACCTCGGCCGCCCCACCCCCCGCGACGCCCAACCCCACGACCGCGTCCCCCGACCCCACACCCCCGGCCGCCCACCTCATCCTCTCCACGCCCCACCTGATCGCGTTCCTGGACCACGCGCCGATATCGAGGGGGCACGTGCTGGTCGTCGTGCGGGCGCACCGGGAGAAACTGGGCGATGTGAGGGTGGAGGAGGGGGAGGCGGTGGGGCGGTGGTTGGGGGTCGTGAGCCGGGCGGTTGTGGGGGCTGTGAGGGAAGGTGAGGCTGGGGAGGGGGAAGATGCGGATCTGGACGTGGGGGATTGGAACGTCGTGCAGAATAATGGTGGGTGCCCAGAGGGTCAGAATGGGCACATGGGACTACGAGGGCTGACATTCATATTTTATAGGAGCACGCGCGGCCCGTACGTACATTTCGGAGCTGTGTTTTCCTGTTTGGTAATGAAGTTGTGTCGCCAGACATGTTTCGGGAGCAGGAAGACCTTTTCACTGCTCAGGCCTGTCTTGCAACTCCTTTTCCTAGCTCGAGTAATCAGTGCTGACTCCGAAATCTGCGTAGAGGTCGTGCCCCATGTCCATTTTCATATCATACCGCGCGTCGGCGATGTACCGGAGGTGAAGGCGAGGAGCTGGACGGTGTTTGGGAAGGGGCAGAGGGAGGAGTTGGATGAGGACGATGCGGTTGTTTTGGTCGGGAGGATGAGGGAGAGGGTACGGAAAGAGGTGGAGAGGGTTAGGTGGCGGGAGGGAGAGGAGGGGGTTAGGAGGTTACTTGGGGATGGGCAGGCAGTTGGTGGTGCGGGTGGGAGGGGGGATGAGGGTGGGTTGTGGAGGGGGACGGGAAGGAGGAGTAAGCTGTAAGAGTGTACAAGTAAGAGATTCCGTGGGTCATGGCAGGCTGTGAGAGTGTACGAGTTAAGAGCATGCATGGCCCGGGCAAAGTGTCTGACTATTTTTTCAAGCCTGTCTAGCTTTCGGAGCTCTGGTGGTATGACACCAGACCCTCTCGAATGGTCCCCAATACTTTCCTCTTGCTGGTGCTTTGTATTGTGGAGAACGAGGGGTGTAGTGGCTAACAAGGCAGGAGTCTCTGCTTTGGACCTTGGGCCGAAGGATGCCAGTTTTGAACAGCGGAGAGAAAATCGGGTCCAGCACCGTGTGCCCGTGGCGGGTCCAAGTCTTGCGAATCATGGACGAAGAACACTACGTGACTGAATCTACCCTTCAGAGAACCGTGCGCTGACCCGACGGGTGGCCCGTTCTGGTATGCCAACATCGTTTTCAGTGCTTTTCGGCTGTCATCCATGACTGTCGACCCGTCCCCAGCTCTTTCCTGAGCTCTTCGATTTCTGCATTCCGTTGTTTTTCTTTCTGGGCAAGGGCGGTCTCAAGATCACGCAACTCCTGATTCTTTTCCAGTGCGCGGTTCTTCAACTTTTCAAGTTCCTTCTTCTTAGCTAAGAGGCCATCTGGAACGAAAGTTCTTGCTGACTCTGGCGGACCTTCCACCTCACTGGCGGGCACCTCTTGAGGATTCTCACTTGCCCCTGAAGCTTTGAATCCTTCGAAATACTGACCAGATCAATCAGCACGTCACGGCCATTATATCTGAAGGAGGAGTACTTACTCGTTTCCTAAAAGAGTTCAAGTCATTAGCACTGCTTCCTTTTGCAGCTTCTCTTTGCCTCATGTTCAAGTCTCCTTTGATCTCAGAGTCTGGCAATCTTCTGTACGTCAAAAGCCTTCTAGACCCTATGTTCGAATTGTCAGAAGAGCCTGCAAGCTCTGAGATGGGGCACTCTACATACATTTGTTGAATGTCTGAACGCAAACGCTGACCAAGTCTAAGTATGGATGTGATGGTATCCCTAAGATTCCATCTTCATCGTTCGCGGTCGGCATCCAGAGAGAAAGCCTCCCATCGTCTACCAACGATAGTGCGGCGAAATCAAGCAGGTCGTCTAGCATAGCTTCGAAGCTGTACGGCTTCTTTGGCGGGATATATTTGTCTTGTCTGCCTGGATTAGCAATTGTATCTGTCGAGATGAAACAGCCTTACAAATGTGATGCCTCCCCGTTGATAAACACAGCTTCCTTTCCACGCCCATCCTTTGTCCCCAGAACTTTCAGACCCTCTCTAACACCATACGGTGGGTCACCAACGATACCGTCCAGCCATCTCCCTCTCCTAAGCGGGCTGTGCGTCAAGTCCGAGATAAAGCCATCAAGATACCTATCAAGCAATCCATACTGTCGAAAATTAGTCCTAATGTCTTTCCCGTTCTTTCCTCTCACCATTCGCCCGTCTATGTCAGATCCCATGGTCCTGGCACCGAAATGAGAGCAAGCGATCGGAAAGCTACCTGTGCCAACAAATGGGTCGTAGAATATCTTTCCTGGAGCGGCGAGTGTGAGATTCGCGGTTAATAGCGCGAGCTCCGAGTCCATAGATGTAGTGTTGATGTAGTCCCTGGTCTTCAAACTGTAGTCAACGATTGCGTGCCGTGAACTACTGCCTATAAAGCTTCCCAGATAGAGCCGTTTGGGTTTTTTCACACCATACTCGTACTCCTCGAAGATGGTGAAACTAAGCTCTGCACCTCGCATACGAATAGGGCCATTGAAACCCATATATTTGAAAGATTCGATGATAGCTTTTTGCTCCGGTAGCGTTCGGGAGCCGCAGAAGGTGTCGAATTCAAACCTGAAAGAGCAAGATTGATACTGCGGCCATTGACCTCTTGTGCGCATAATAATGTCTGCATGGAGCTCATCGTAGTCTGTTCCGCTTCCCCATAGCTCGTAGATCCCTTTGCTTGAGATGCTGCGGCTTAGGAGAGATTTTGCGGTTGCTTCATCCTTTAGGCGGACTACTGAGTATGGAGACTACACAGATCAGACATTGACTGTTCTCATCGTCTGATTTTATAGAGATGCGACAAAAGATTTCAGCCGGAAAAGTCAAAACATACACTTTCACTGTAGGATAGGAACTCGACATTGACATTTGCAAGCACGGCCAACGCCTCGATCTCAGGCTTACGAAAGGTCTCATGGATTTGTACGAAACGAATGAGGAAGTCCATTATTACAGACGATTGATGGGTTATCAGCCATGGACCTTTGTAGATCAGGGGGTTGCAATTGCTGAGTCACACATTTTTCCACAATTTGTGATTTGTGGAGTGGAAAGGATGAGAATATTCGATGGTCAACATCTTTAACAAGTTCACGGCATTCTGCCCTCTATTGTCAACATATTTTGGTTTTAAATGTGCCTACGTGGCAATAGTATTAGGTGGTCTGTGATGCATTGACTCCGATTGATCGCAGAAGAGCTGGCCTCTAACAAGTGCTGCCTTGCTAACGCATAACATATGATCAAGAGCTACCACGGCACTCGGCTTGCCTCCTTCTCATCGCCCTCCAGTTGTTAAGAGCCATTCTCGTACTTCCCCTCCTCGGCCAATACCAGCTCCACGACCACTCGCGCCCCGTCCAATGGATCCTTCGTACCCCTGAAACCGTTGAATGCAGTCTTGCAGTGGCCTGGAATAGCGGCGTAAAAGGCAATAGTAGGCTCTGCCTTCGCGTACTCGACCGTCAAAGCATTGAGAGCCGTCTTGCTGACCGAGTAGGAGATCACCGTAGATGGTGGGAGATTCCGGGTTGATGATAGATGAAGAGAGGCGCGAGCAGAAGAGATGTTGATGATTTGAGCGTCTGGAGAGCTCTCCTTCATGAGAGGTAGGAAGGTGGTCATCATGAGAGCAACGCCAGTAATGTTGGTGCTGAAGGTCTGAGCGTAGCTTTCTTGGATGTTCGAGCGTCTGGCCTTCCGAGGATCGCGATCCCAGCGTTGTTGACCAGAACATCTAGTCGTCCGTACCGCTTCCGAATCTTTCGCTCTGCCGCCTTGATGCTTGCCTCGTTTGCAACATCCAATTCCACGACGTCGATCTCAGCTTGCACGCCCGACTTTCGCAATTCCTGAATGGCCAATTCCCCGTTCGGCGTGCTGCGAGCGGCAAGAAGATAGTGATGGGATGGAGAGCGTGTGGCCAAGGCCTGAAGAATTGAGAAGCCTATGCCTCTGTTCGCTCTCGTGATGAGTATTATTCTTGGCGACATGGTGGGCCTTCATCGAGGTGACCTGTTGGGCTTGGAAGGCGTCAAATGTTTGGAGGATGATATCTGAGTACATGATGAATGTTTTATGGTATGAGGATAATAAATGCTGGTTATTAAGGTCAGCAATTAGGGAATACATGGCTTCTTTATAGATAAGTATTGGAGTAGGGTTCGGACTTTGAGATGGTCCATAAACTCCTCAGATCCGGCCATCGGGGCGGCTTTATCCCCAACATTTACCTTAGCAGCGATATTCGCGATAACCCAAACGCCGATTTTCGGGGAATAGCACCCGAGGTACCTTAAGTCCGCAATGATTCCGTTTGCAGCTAAAGCCATAGAATGATCAAGTTTGCTTGCAGGCTCCATTGTCCTTGTGGCTTCCAAACATTGGGCGCGTCGTAAGTAGTCTACGTAAGACGGTTCCTCCCACCTCAATGTCGAACGGAGAGAGCGTGGATTTGTGGCCTATGGTGAACGCCAGTGCTTCAAGGGTCCACATTTCTTGGCATATTAAACGCTAGTCTTAGCTCGGACTCATCGGCAATGGAATATCAATATCACCGCACAGAAAATACGCGCGACTCTTACTCCAAAGTTGAATTCCCACAGCCTTTGTGAGCACTTCTAACGGACAAGTGACCAATTCTCTCGTCAAACATGGCGGACACAATGTAGGAGCGAACCTGTCCCGTTTTGTCCATATAAATACTAACCTGTGGTAGAAAAGATGCTCCGCTGAAGGCGGTTCAATTGGAGGCATTGGTAGGGGTCTATCAAGTGCGCATGCAGCACCGTTAGCTGATTTTGTAATAGGTGGTCATGAAGATAATAAAACACTGCTCGCAGACTTTCCCTACAACCGCGACCGGTTTTCTGGTCGGCATGGACAAAGCAGCAAATCTCGAAATCACCAACTCTTTCCCCTTCCCAACCGTCGAAGTACCCCCAACAGATGGCCACCACGATAACAATGCGGCCTCAAATCTTGCTGCAGCCGCCCCTAGAGCCAAAGCAAATGCCTCATACCAGAACGAAATGATCAAGAAGCTAAGAGAAGTCAACGTGGATGCCAACAATACCGGCTGGTACACCAGCGCAAATCTGGGCAACTTCGTGAATCTTAACATGATCGAGAACCAACATTTTTATCAGAAGGAGTTGAATGAGCGGACAGTGGCCTTGATCCATGATGTCAGCAGAAGCTCTCAAGGAAGCCTTAGCCTACGAGCGTTTAGGTTATCGCCCTCGTTCATGATCGCCTATAAAGAAGCCAAATTCACCACCGAGAGGTATTGCCAGTTCTTTGTTCTCTATCATCGAGTACGTACTAACGTGTCCGCAACCCCAGCCTCCAAAAATCGAACCTCCGCTATCAAGATATCCTACTCGAACTTCCAGTCCAAATCCACAACTCTCACCTCCTAACCTCTTTCCTACACTCTATGCCTTCCCCGGTTCCCTCTGCAGAAGCGCAAGAGTCTCAGCCGCCCACAATCGCCTCACTCGCGAAAACACCAGATCCTCTTTCACCGAATTTTTCTTCGCTGAATCTTTCCATCGACCCATTCCTCACCCAGACGACCGACCTCCTCCTTGAAAGTATAGAGACGCACCACACCGAACTCAACAATTACCAATACTATCAACGTCAACTTGCACGTGAACAGACCAAAATTACCGCGTGGCAGGCGAAGCGAAAGTCGGAAAATGCGAGCAGGGCGTTGGCAAAGCAGACTCCATTACCGGAGGATGAATGGCAGAGATTGTTCAAGTTACCCCAGGAGCCAGGGAGACTAGATACTTTGTTGAACAGCAGGCAAGTCGAGCAGTATGCGAGGCAGGTAGACGGGTTCGCCGCAGGGGTTACAGGGAAGATGTTTGCTGTTAGGGGCAACCTTCTGCCCGGAGCTGGAGAACCATGAGGCACCAACGAGCTGGGTGAAGTTCTGGAACTACCGGATTCCAAATAGATGCATTCGTAGTACTGTAGCGTTAGAGACAGCGAACCCGGGCTACTAAATTACGTCTGAATGCTGGGAAAGATGGTATCGAGAAGCCTGAAGGGCAGTAAATGATTAACGCTGCGACAAGCCTGACCACATAATGAAATGAGAAGGCTTCACAATATCTCCATCAATGGACTAGAAGCATCAAACCCTGCAAGATGCAAGATGCAGATCGACGCTAAGCTGGAAAAAATCGAGCTCAGAACGAGTAAGCCCGCCGCAAGCCACCGGTCGATTTCAGCTCTCACCACACCACCAACACCCAGCCTCGCTCTCGAATTTCCTTCTATTCCTTCAATCCACTGAAGCTACCTACCTTCGATTTCCCCTCCAAGACATTCTACACACAGAACCTTCCACAATACCGCAAACATGAGTGGACCACCAGCATCTAAGTACAAGGTCGCCGACATTGTACGTATGACTTGCAAGGCCAATTGGAGCCTTCGTAAGGCATAGCACCTATGCTTATCTCATTCTAGTCACTGTCAGCCTTTGGCCGTCGCGAGATTGAGCTCGCCGAAAATGAGATGCCAGGTCTCATGGCCACGCGGATAAAGTACGCAGAAGATCAGCCACTGAAGGGCGCCCGTATCGCAGGATGTCTACACATGAGTAAGCGATACAAGGGAGGAAACATCTGGCAGTGCTGATTGATTGCAGCTATTCAGACCGCTGTTCTCATTGAAACCCTCACATCTCTCGGAGCCGAAGTCACTTGGTCGTACGTTTTCACTTCTTTACTTTGGTGAGTCAAAAAGGCTAAAGTTTGTGGGCTAGATCATGCAACATCTTCTCCACACAAGACCATGCTGCAGCTGCCATCGCTGCTGCAGGTACTCCAGTGTTCGCCTGGAAGGGTGAGACCGAGGAAGAATACAACTGGTGTTTGGAGCAACAGCTCGTAGCCTTCAACGATGGAAAGACCCTCAACTTGATCCTCGATGACGGTGGAGACCTGACAGCGCTGGTACACAACAAGCACCCTGAGATGCTCAAGGACTGCTACGGTGTTTCAGAAGAGACGACCACTGGTGTCCACCACCTGTACCGAATGCTCAAGGGGAAAGGTCTTCTGGTACCCGCTGTCAACGTGAACGACTCCGTTACGAAGTCCAAGTTCGATAACTTGTACGGTTGCAGAGAGTCTCTCATCGATGGTATCAAGCGTGCCACAGATGTCATGGTTGCTGGCAAAGTCGCCGTTGTCGCTGGATTCGGTGACGTCGGCAAAGGATGCGCTCAGGCTTTACACAGCATGGGTGCCCGTGTCATTGTCACCGAGATTGATCCTATCAACGCTCTGCAGGCGGCCGTTTCAGGCTACCAGGTCACTACCATGGAAGACGCTGCACCGGAAGGTCAGATCTTCGTCACTACGACTGGATGCAGAGATATCCTCCTCGGCAAGCACTTCGAGGTCATGAAGAATGATGCCATTGTGTGCAGTGAGTATTGAGCATTCCAAGCTGCAGATTAGGATTGGTGCTAAATTCATACCCAGACATCGGACATTTTGACATCGAGATCGACGTTGCCTGGTTGAAGAAGAATGCCAAATCTGTCCAAAACATCAAGCCCCAAGTCGACCGCTACCTCATGGAAAACGGCCATCACATCATACTCCTCGCCGAGGGCCGCCTTGTGAACCTTGGATGTGCTACCGGTCACTCTTCGTTCGTCATGTCATGCTCCTTCACCAACCAAGTGCTCGCGCAGATTATGTTGTTCAAGGCCGAGGATGAGGCGTTCGGTAAGCGCTACATCGAGTTTGGGAAGACTGGAAAGAAGGAAATCGGGGTCTATGTCCTGCCCAAGATTCTAGATGAGCAAGTCGCTCTGCTGCATCTGGATCACGTCAACGTCAAGCTGTCGAAGCTGTCGGAGACACAAGCTGAATACTTGGGTCTGCCTGCCGAGGGACCCTTCAAGAACGACATGTACGTTCAATTCATCCTTCGAAGGATTCCGATATTTCGTTCGATACATTTACTGACGTCCGTTTTACAGCTACCGCTACTAGATTTGCCCTCAACAGCCATCTACTAATCATTCAACACGATTTACGACGAGATGAACAAACAAAAGCATATGCCCTTCAACGGCTATATCCCCTTTGACTTTAGCGAGCGAGCCATCTCAACAAATGGTTTGAGTCTACCATAAATGGCGTTCGTGATTTGGCATTGTCAACCATTGTCACATAGAGTGCCTGTCAGCATTGACATCCGAGATCAAACTTGATAGATGAAACTGGTGGTCCAAGAATTCCTTTTCAACTGGATGTGATCTGCCATATCCTAATTTCCCCGTTCCTCGTCCCCTCGCTTCAACGAGTCGCAAATTCAAGGATTCTGTAGAGTATTGAGGTTTGCCCCCATCGGTTGCTGTTATTGCTTCCTACTGTTGCGAACCGATTGCCATATCGAGTAGCCCAAGTGACGAAGCCTAGCCATAACTGTATCTTCTGCACCTTCTCCTTCTCCTGGCTTGAGTTTTCGTGTGCCGAATGAAAGATCCTAATCAGACCTGAAAAGAAAGGTCCAATAGACGATCCTGCCCCTCTGACAGCCAACCAACAGCAGAACGTGACCTTTGCAGCTTTGATTTATGAAACGTTCATGGTACCAGTGAAACACTCTCGGATCTAGAACCAACGCCAACAAATCAGCAATCGTCATTGCAATTGCGAGGCAGGCAGTGAAGTGCAACCACGATTTATGATATCAGATCGAGTGTAATGTTCAATTTGTCGACATGCGATCCCCCATAAAAAGGGCCAATCCGAATTGCAGAATTCTTGAGTGCGTTCATCATATGGAATGGAGGAAGGAAGGAAGAAATGAAATGAATCGAAGCTACTTACGGAGCTAGGGTCAAGGAGTCCACTCCGCTTATTTGCGAGCTGATGGCGATAGGCTCGACCGATGTCCGTGTGATCAGAAGGACAGCCGAGAGCGTTGTGGTACCAGGTTCTGAATACTCTCCAACATTTCCGGTCTAATGCCTCTGGCTTTGGCTACCTCCCTACATGCTGTGATTTTGCGGCTTGATTGCCGATCCTTGTCGACGACCTGCCTCTCACGAGAGCTTCCACAGTATGCAGCAGCCCATGCCAGCTATGATCACGACTGTTTTTCACTCCGCCTCCGTTCGAATATGCTCTTGCTGTCATTACGCCCATCATTTCTTTTCCGCAGAAGCCTTCCCCGTAGACTTATCTCCCTGCGCATACTCGATCTTGGTAGCCTCCAGCCTTTTCAAAACGTCCCTCATCTCTTCGTTTGGTATCCTGGGGGAAGTTGAGAACGGCGACTCTTGCTGAGATTGGACCATGTCAATGGCTTCAGCGGTAGATGTGTCGGTTTTGGGGGAGGAGTGTTTAGTAGATAGGCTGGCATGAGCTTCTCGCAGCATCTGAGTGTAGGGTTTTCTGGCCTCGTAGTATTCGTTGACGAGCTCGACGAGGTTGGAGGCCATGACAGGCTGAGATTGCGTTGAATCAAACGTGAGTAGAGTTTGTTGTAGAGCAGTTCGTGAAAGGCCTTTGATAAGGAGACCCTAAATGTGGTTTTAATGGCTGTGTGGACATAGCGCCAACGACAAATGTTCAACCTGCCCCTCGTCCCTAGAATTGCGAATCATCTTTTGGCACCAATCCTCGCAATGGCAGACTCACCAGACATGTCGCCTCTCTCATCCCACGGCTCTAGTGAATTCGGCGACGAGGTCAAAGTCGAGGACCGAGAGCAGAGCACCGATACTCTTCCTTCCCATGATACACACCTCGTTCCACCAGCCAAGAGACGCCGTACTGGCCAGTACTCACATCAGTCAACCCCAGCTCCTCTCCATGAGATCCCAGAAGATCTAGGGGACATCTCATCCGACACCTCAGGAAGCGTACCCGTATCCCCAATGGGCGACAAAGTCATGGGCTTTCCGGAAGATGAGCCATACGCTTCGGTACCCTCGGAGCAGGTCACGACGTGCAAATGGCAGGATTGTCAGGCGGGTGATTTAGGCAATATGGACAACTTGGTGCAGCACTTACATGATGATCATATTGGCAAGAACAAGAAAAAGTATGCGTGTGAGTGGGATGGTTGCAATCGAAACAGTGCTCAGGCCAGTGGGTATGCCCTCAAAGCTCATATGCGGAGTCATACCAAGGAGAAGCCGTTTTACTGCCAATTGCCAGGTATGCTCTACAGGATCACCAAATAGTGCTCTGCTTACCCGGACTAGAATGCGACAAAGCCTTTACACGCTCTGATGCTCTAGCTAAGCATATGAGGACTGTACATGAGACCGAAGCACTACGGCCATCCGATCCAGTACCTAAGAACTACTCGTCAATACCGCCTAAGCCGCAAAGACTAAAACTCATCGTAAACTCAAAACCACGCGACGAAGGTAACGGAGATACTGAGATTGACGACGACGCAACCATCTACAGCAATACAGATGCAGAAAATGAAGGTCTATCTGCAGCACCCTTTGAATACCCAGCAGATGTTCAATTCACTGAAGAAGAATTGGAAATGCCTTCAGAGCGGCTGTTCAAACTCCTACGGCGGCAGATTCATTGGTCCGAGGAGGATGGGTCTGATTTGCAAGACGAAATACGATCACTGGAAGCCAAAAGGAAGCAGGAGTGGATAGCTAAAGAGTTGGTGCTTGCGAACGTTATGGAGGCTGAGATTGCGACGGCACATGACAAAGGGGAGCATCCTGAGACTGTTCAGAAGCTGGCAGAGGATCTGCCGTTGCCTATGCTGCCCATTTTGGGACCTTTGCCGTGGTATCGATATGCTGCAGGTCCACCGGAAATGCCACCAGAGATGAGATCGGCTTGAAGAGCTTCTGTGAGCCTGTTATGCAAGAGGTTGATACCCCAAATTCTCCTCTCCTCGATTATACAGAGCCATGGAAATCAGTCGGTCTTCGAGAGAATTCCACAAGTTCACAGTGAATATCGGAATTTAACCATGCTTCCATGCTCCTATCGTGGCACTTTCTCGGATCTATTTCTTCGCCTAATTCTGATGCCACGTGTAAATTGGGTCAGCAGCGAGGATCCCTCTCACGACTTCTGTGCCATCCTTGGGCTTTCTACCCAGCAGATGCTCCATCAAAGGGTCCACTGTCTTTCCGTCGCCCTTTGCAACCTTGTCATACCACGATAGTCTCTTCTCGAACCACCATTCCGACTTGCCACCTTCGTCATTTTCCGCGCTTTCCCTTGTGTACTTGTCAAACGGCACTTTTTCGACAGCAATCCCTCTGCCGGTGACATAGTTGATTATCTCCACCAAATCTGCCAAAGTGACGGCTTTCGCCCCTGTCAGCAAGACAATCTCTTTTTTGTGGCCACCTCTCATCATCAGATTTGCGGTAGCTTCTGCAAGTTCAGCGCAGGATGCATAACAACGGCACCATCGGCTGGCAGACGCAGGATCTGGGATGAAGGATAGTAATTCAAGAAAAGGGGGAAAGCTTCAGCATATATGCCCTCTCGAACAGACGTGTATGTGATCCCAGATCTAACAACTTTTAGCGGATCATGCTAACAGAAACAATCTCTCAGAGCTCACACACTCTTTCAGCATTGCTTCGCAGACGTAATGCGCTTGTTGCACGTCGATTTTCGAGTCGGAAGAATGGCCTCCCCAAGCGAGCGATGTGTAGAATACCTGTCATCGTCAGCCTAGCTTACAACTACCGCATTAGAGGATCACGAACATGACCAACGCCGGCGGACTTAGCCGCTTCAATCACGTTCCTGTGTTGCTGGTTCCTCGCCTCATTGTCATAGGTGTTTGCAGACACAAACAGCAGCTTCTCAACTCCAGCAAACCCCTTTTCCAGCGAAGCCCGGTCCTGGTAGTCGGCGTGGCGGAACTGGATGCCTGATCTCTCGAACTGCTCTGCAACCTCTGGGCGAGATGAGCTGGCTGCATAGTCTGATTTGGGCGCATGCTTCGCGATCTGTTGGAGGACGCCGCCACCGAGACCGCCGGTTGCGCCTGTGATTAAGTATTTGAGGGTCATTATGACTGGATTATCGGTCTATGAGGGGGCTGTTCGTAATGCAGATGTTTGATTGTCCTTTTTATGCCTCTCCCTTGGGAGGTTCGGCCTCTGAGCCGTTCAGCTTAGAAATCCATCGGAGCGTTGATCATGTAATTACGAGAATACTAGAGGATGCAAGTATAGTCCCGCAGATCAAATGCCAACAAAATGTAAAATTATAGCATCTCTTCAAAATGCTTTCTCTCCAGTTTTATCTCAGCTGCCAAGGCTTAGCGTTCGCTTCACTTGTACGCAACTCCACGCAAGATCAACACCTCCACTACAGCACCATGTAACCATCTCGACCATCGACAAGGATGCTGACACCTTACGAAGTACCACGATGACCAATACCGAGGCGGACTCAGACCCGCAAGACCGAAAGCCGAAGCTTTACCAGAGCAAGCTCACCTCGTCTTTCTTCAGGCCCAAACATGGCTCCGCAGAAGACACTACCACCTCTCCGTATCTCTCCAAACCGGTCCCTGAGGCCTCCAATTCTCAAGCAGACGCAGCAATTCCCGCCCAGCACGAACGCGACTCAGGGAAAATTCCGATTAATCTCCATCCTGAACGACGCTCCAACCTCGCCCGCCCACCGCCTAATCTCAAACCTACTCGCAGCGTTATGCTCGCCCATACAGCAGCTGAGACCAGGGCTCTCCTCCCGAACGTTCTGAAGACAACACCACGGGCTCCTGCAGAAGGCGTCCTCTGCCACCCGGGCAACCTTTTCCGCTTGGACTCTCGCTCTTGCCCGAGACTACCTCAGACCGCTATACGCGTTCTCAATGCCGATAGTATAGATGCTGCGATCGATCTCTCCACACCAACAGTCTCCCAGCTTCCGAAAAAGCCAGTCCTGGTCCTCAATATGGCGAACGCGTATCACAGTGGAGGAGGCTGGCTACGTGGTTCTCTGGCGCAGGAAGAAGCAATGTGCTACCGCTCCAGCCTCTTTTTCACTCTGAAGTACAAGTTCTATCCTATGCCTGAAGCAGGCGGTATCTACAGTCCAACAGTTGTGGTTATCCGCGCGAATAGGAGCTCGGGACATGGATTGATGGATCTGAGCAAGCCAGATGACTTGCCCGTTTTCAGCTGTGTAAGCGTCGCTGCTATCCAGGGGCCTGCGATCGAGAAAGATGCAGGTGGGAACGAGAGGTACAGGCGCGCAGGTGATAGGGAAATTATGAAAGAGAAGATGAGAGTGGTGTTGCGGATTGCGGCAGTCAAAGGGCATAGAGTGTTAGTGCTTGGGGCACTGGGATGTGGTGCTTTTGCGAATCCGAGGGGAGAGGTTGTGGAGTGTTGGAAAGAGGTCTTTTCGGAAAGTGAATTTCAAGGAGGATGGTGGGAGCAGATCGTCTTTGCGGTCATGGAGTCGGGCGGTACTAAAGAAGGAGATGATAATTTTGGCGTCTTTTATAAGGGGCTTGATGGCGTGATGGTCTAATGATTTATGAAGATTTGACGAGCGGATAGCGGGCCTTTTGGTAGGCTTACTGGTCGAGATACCCCGGACAGTTTTGATACAAATACTCTTCACAGTGTTGATGAAGACACCTCAAAGAGTGTTGAAAAAGATATTCTCAAACGTGTTGCCGAAGCTACTCGTAAAAGCATTGATGAAGATTCGTTGACAATTATTGATAAAAATGCAGTGTCAATAATGGCACCCTTTAAAGTGTTGATGATAGTATTCTCAAATGTGTTGAGAGGATAGTGTTGAAAGAGATGGAAGTATCGTTTTAGCTTGGTCATACAAATTCATTTTCACATTCACAAACCCCGTCTCTTCATCATCTTCTCCTTCTTCCTTCTCCGTTCCTCATCATTCCTAAACGGCCACCCTGACACCTTTCCTCTCCCATCACCTCCCCCAAACATCAAACACCACAGTCCGAAACAGCTCAGAATCCCACTCCCTGTCATCCCCAGCGCAAAACAAGCTGATCCAGTAGCCATATAATTCGTATACATGTATATGGTACTCGAGACGTGGAAGGTTGTTGTCAGGAAGATTGTAGGACCGGAGTACGGAGAGGGAGCGTGGGAGTTTTCGGATTCGGCGACAGGGGTGGAAAGGGGAAGGAGGCCGGCGAGCAGGATGGTGAGGAGACCTAGACACAGGAGGGTCATGGAGAGGGTGCGGGAGAGGTATATTTCGAGATCTGAGAGGGGGTTTAGTGGGGGTAATATGGTAGAGGGAGCAGGGGGTGAACCTGTGGGCCTCCTGGCATCGGGCGAAAGCATTGTGACTATCAATTTGGGAGATATGAGGAGAGGAATAGCTTGGAGGGAGAGCCATGCGGCTGTACTGGTGGCGTATGTACCGACGCTGTCCATGATTGCGAGAACTTTGGGAATGAGATGGTGAGGAAGAACGGCGTAAAGCGTGGAACGAGCACCACAGGAGACTTTGATAGAGAGGATGAGGTTTAGCTTTAGGGCTACGCTAAGCAAAGAACCGATCGTTATCTTTACAATCTACGACCTTCGACTTGGAGTCTTAGCGATACTTGACGACTATCTCCAGAGCGATGCTACATTGACGTCGAGCATCTGTACCCAAGAAAGCACCCCAGCTTGCATTCTGGGAATCCCTTCCTTTCGTAGAGTGACTGCCCTGGCTGCTAGAAATACTCTCCATCATTTTGCACTTGGGGGTCTGTGCGCTGAGGGTCTTCCCTACAAAGCCATGGATCCAGCCGCTCCATCTACTTGTTTTCCATTGCTTGATTTGCCGCGAGAAATTCGCGATTAGATCTTGGGGGAATTGTTCTTCCCAGGAGACAGACATCCAGAGAGCATTAGCCAAGATGGCTTGGGTCGTGCGCCAACTGCAGTATGACAGATCTGCCCGTACAAGAAGAAAAAAGACTCTAGTAATTTTTTTGTGATGTCTCTGTCATCCGTGCTTGCAAACAGCTTCAGGTGGGCTTCTAATACTGAGGTATTATGTCCACTCTCAACGGCTTAAAAATTATTAGCATGAAGCCGAGGAAGTCCTCTACGGTACATCCTCTTGGCAATTAATGTACGCTGACTGGGGGGACATGGGCAGCAAGAACCACTAGTTCTTTCAAATGTTGCCAAAGCGATTGCGAAGATTGATCCAAGGGGGGAACGGAAGTGCTACTCACTTGATTACTGGGCCAATATCTCTTTGTTTGGCTGGACCGTTTTCATGACTTTTCTGGCTCGTGAATGTCCTGGCTTGCAAAGTCTCAGATTCTGGGGACCAGGAGACCCAGAGGAAGCACCTGGATTTGTGAGAAGTTGCCTGAAAGACGCTCGATGGATTTAAGCAATCTTGCAGACTAAGACCTTGACGCTTTTTGAGATTCCGGTAATACGAGGAGGAACCCTTTATGAAAACTCCGAATCCAGTGAGGACTTCCTACCTTGGCTCAGAGATACCTTGACCGGACTCTCTAGGTCTACTCCTATAGGTGGCCATATACCAGCGAACAGCGTTCAAGGAACGGAAATAAAATGTATGCAGGGACCGATTACAGTCATACCCTCGGATGAGCCATTCCCATTCTTGACTCTAGATACAGATGTTCGAGAGATGATGCTCCGCGAGATACTCCTCCCAGCGGACAAACAACTTCATCCTTACATCATTTTGACGAGACGACCCAGAACGTGATTCCTCTGTTTCTGACATGCAAGCAAATCTATCATGAAGCAGAGCCTGTCTTGTACAACATCGGCCTATTCTCACTGACTATAGAAAATACAACTCCGCGCTGCTACGCTTCCTTATAGATCGCCTTTCCGAGCCCAAGTTTTCGAAGCCACAGTATCAAAATTTCTCGGAAAGAGCTCGAGCTACTATGTCCGACTCAAGTCTACTTGATTGATACCACCGATTGTTTGCGAACCTTGGCCTTGACTTTGTACAACAATACCAAAGCCTGTCATGCGTTGACTGGTTTCAATCCGGCATGCTTTCCATGGGATAGACTAGACGAGGGTTCCAATTCTCATACACCACCTTACGCGACCTGTTGTCTAGGTATTCTCGACGCGCCCCGCTAGCTCTGGATTCTTGGCGGAGCAACTGCGCTATGTGCGATTCATAGCCTCACACGGAAGAAGCAGCATTTTGCCTTTGTGACAAGACTCAGGGTGTGGGTGCGCATAAAAAGTTTCGCGGCTATCGTCCAAACATCGTCCAAACACGCACTTGTGCTTGCCGAAACACTGACAAATTTCAATCCTCCGAGGTAACGGTCTAGCTACCGCTCCATCAAAATATAAAAGTCGATCGAAGAACCATGCGTTCCGTGGGGTCTCAAGTCTCCAGTCTTGGTGGAGCTGTATTTCAATTGTATCTCCTTGATAGAACCCAAAGTCCGCCCATTTCCCACGATCATTCCTTGCCAAATATTTTGTTCGTTTCTTTTGCGACTTCTATAAACTTTGTTGCCTATCTGTTCATGGTAGAGGCATATTCGAGGGGTCCATCATGTTTTCCCGTGTAGCGTCAACAGCGATCTTTTTACTTCTGCCTTGCTCTATGGCACTACCGTCTATTTCTAGCTTGTCCAAAACACCAAAAACCAATCTTGGGAAGCGTTTGATACCCGTAAGACCAACTTCTGTTCGTTCGCCGTCTATGCGCTGACGTTTTTTTTAGGTGCTCGAATGCAATCCACGAGCTCAGATTCCCAATTATCCTGACCCCACCCCACCGGCTGAAGGCGATCCAGCGAAAGCCTTTCTCGCGCAGGTTGCTACGTTCAGATCAATGACCTCGCTATGCGGCCAATACCCAGGAGGAATGGGGTATTACTGCCCTCCCGCGGGTGGTGCATTGCTCGTCCAAAGGCCTGCGTCACAACTTTACGAGTTTTTGGGCCCACCTGACTCGCAATACCTCAAAGATGCATGTCTGGCCCACTGCTATTGTACACAGATCGCTCCAGGCGACCCCGATCCTTCTTCGTCAAACCCGGCGTCGGCAC